GTTCAGCTTTTTTGAGCTTCATTACTATGTGCCTACCTATTCATTTCATTACAAAGTGAAGTAATGTTGGTAACCTGGGTTCTGAGACTTCAAAGCAAGATTCCTTAGATGTGCAAGTGTGTGACAGAATGTTTTAAGTTTTGATTCAGAGATCTAATGCAGGGTTTAAAATCAAGTGCGAGGTGGGCTCGTACATTGTGTGAAGGGGGCCAGGAGAAACCAGAAGACCTGCATGGTATGCAAACATCTAATTTTTGGAGCTGGAGGTCAAAATGGTTTGGAATGAATAACAGTTGGATGGCATTGCAAAACTAACAGTGGTAAATATTGACATTGAATGAATTTGATTCTGCATCAAAGTCAAATCTCAAATCATGATTTGCTGAAAACTTAAAAAAAAATTTCACATGTAGATGAAAACATAAATACGTAGTTAATATTTATTTCAAATCTTTTACCATGCGTTCCTTTGTTTGGCCAACGTTCATAAGACAGCAAAAGACACAAACAAGTATGAATATGCCAAATGTAAATTAGAATTAGCGTGTCTTGTCTCTTTTTTTATATATTTTCTCAAGCGAAATGTCTGATTCTTTGTTGAGCAAAAGTGTGGTTGTTTCTAAATTCGGTTTTGACCATATATTTTAAATGAATGTAGTTAAATAGCTGCACTTATATTCATTTATTTTTCACTGTAGTTTCTAATCAAAATAATTGAGCGGTAAGGTTGACAGCTGTGGACCGTTTGTATTGCATTAATACAGTAGAGTTTGCTACCATTTGAGTAAATAAAGACAGAAGAGAATGCAGTTCATTATTTTAGTCATGTTTGAGCCAGGAGATGTGGCAGGAGGTGAAAGAAGTTGAGGGAAGGGGGTTAAACTGACAATTTATCTAAATGACAACTAGCAAAAAGATCTCTTCAGCCAGATTGCACCTGCTATCTGCTGCTTAAAGAGAGTGAATATGTACATAAGGATTTGATATTTTTAAGTTGATTAATAAAAGATAATTTGTGTGGAAAATAAATTTAGTTTTCCAGCACACTGTGACTAAAGTAACCACTCTGAAAATGTTACTGTTAAGTATGTTACAAGAATTATTTCTTGTAAAAACCAGCATGCATTTTGAAGGTAAAATCTGCGAATTTTAAAATTAAAATAATAATCCTTGCCTTTGATATAGTGCCTTATTACATCTTCAAGATGTCTTAAAGTACTTCACAGGATTTATATTTTTAAAAATTTTATACAAAATATAGGTTTACTGATTTTTTTTCCATCTAAATGCTATTTTTTTCTCTGGGTTTAATAGACATGCAGTTGATTTCCTCCACATGTGATTGGCAGCAATATTTATGTTTCCACCTTGGCTCAGTTGGTAGCACAGTCACATTCGGATCAAAAGGTTCTGAGATCAAAAGCCACGTCACGACTTGAACTCATGGTCTAAGCCGATGTGCCAGTTCAGTGCTAGAGGAGTGATTCCCTGTAGTTTATGCTGTCCTTCAGATGAGACGTTAAACTGACGTGTCGTTTGCCTGTTCAGATGAATCCTAAAGATCCCATGATACCATTTAAAAATAATATCCCATGTCCAGGCCAAAATTTCTCAAGATAAATTGGTCATTAATTTCATGGCTGTTTTGGGGACCTGCTGTGGGTGTATTGACTGCTTGTTTGCCTACAAATATGCAGTCACTAAACTTGACAGCAATTGCTTGTGAAGCAGTTGGATAATTTTTGACATTATGAACACTATCAAATGCAAGGATTATTTATTTATGTTATTGATTACAGTAACATTAGAGAAGTTCCAGCACTGTGTAAGATGAAACTTTTATTCTCTTCAGTAAAAATTGGTTTTAATTGCCCTTCACTATACTGTGCCAAAATGCCACACTTTTTAAGAGTCCAGACGAAGCAATTTGGTGTTTAAAAGAAAATACGTAAAGGAAATGTAGTGGATTTTATGAATATGGATTTTCAAAAGGCACTTGATAAGGAGCCACAGAAGAGATTTGTTGGAAAAATTAACGTGCACAGTATTGAAGGGGTTACGACAGCAATTATAAGCTGAATTGATAAAGTTAATAGGAGAAATAATTTCCATTGGCTGGTGAGCTGGTAACTGGAGAGCATAAATTTAATGTCATCTGTTTTTAAAACAAAAACAAAGGGAGAGATTACGAGGTTTTTATCGTTACCTCAATAATACTAGGACAAGGGATTACCTACCAAAATTGTAGTTGAAGCACAATAGCTTTTGAAAGATAATTATAGTAATATTTTGAAAGGAAAAATATGAAAAGGTATCAAGGAAAGGCAGGGAAGTGGGAGAAAGTGGATAATTCTTACAGAGGGCTTGCACAGTTAAGGCAGTCTAAATAGTCTCTTTATTCTAAAATTTGATAATTGTTGATTGATATTTAAAAAGCCTGACAACCATTAGGAATTAAGTTATTGAAAGCAAAAATACTGGAAAATATTTTGCTTACTGGCAGTTATAAATTCATCGATCGTACTTTTTAAAAAATATGCATGTGATCCTTTTGAAAATTACAGTGTGTACCAAAGAAATGTTTTCCCTTTAGTTATTGTTTTACAATGGTTATATGTCTTAGAAGAGAAAAAATTGTGATATATTTCAATCCTTATTTTGGGACGTCCTCCTGACAAATGTAATCTTGTTGTTGTATTTTATTTTTGAATGTACTCATTAGTGTTGTTCTTTAGAAATGGTCCCACTAAATTCAGTTGTTGATTTACAACTTAAGATGATGACAAAACATGCAAAGGATCCAGGAAAAGTGGAAGCTGCCTTTTTGGAGTAACATTCACTCAGAGCATACTTTGTTTGAAATTTGACTTAAAATATATAGAATGAAGAGCTACATGCATTCCATTATCAAAGTCTGCCAAAGTAAATCAACCGATGTCATTTTATTTGCGTGAGTTAAAAAAAAAGCGGCAGCAAAATGGTAAATATGAATGTGTATACGAATACACTTCTTTTACTTGATTACTGCTTCTGCATTATGATTCATGGAAATGCCTCCAGTCATGTGACAGGTGTTAGTTTGTTTGATTTGATGTGTTGTCAAGCTTTGATTTAAAGCTGCTAGGCCTGCTGCCTCAGCTCCTTCTCATCCAATCCTGTCAGGGACAGACATTCATTACCCACACTGGAACAGTTTATTGTGACAAGCAGTCATTAGTTGTGATGGTATTTAGTCAAACCTCTTTGTGGCAATATAAATGTTCACTTTAGTATATTGCGAGTCAAGGCTGTCTGCCCAGGAAGTTGCTGTCCTCCAAATAAATAAATCGATTCGCATTTCTTCCCTTCTATTTAATCAAACGTATGTGAGCCAGGCCTGATGAAATTGCTTAAGTGATTAATTGCTCAGGCACTTCCTAGCCAATCCCACTGAATCAATATTTAGGCAGGTCAGAGCTATATGTATTTTGTTTTAAGGTCGGCACATAAAGAGATTACCACGCTTATTTTACAGCTGTAAGATAAGTATTGTTAAATATTGTGTTGCATTGGCTCGTTTTATTTACTGTTAATTTTAAGAAGCCACTGAGGTCGAATTTCTAGGTTAACATACATACAGAGGGAATTATAGGTATTCAAATATTATACTTATGGGCAAATGAAAACAATATAGAAACTCTGTACATTGTCTCTTAATTACATTGCTAAGTGCAATGGTGGTTTCATCCACGGACACACAGTATTTGTATATGGTAAACCTGGGCCACAAATTAGACCCCACTGATAAAAAAAAATATTTTTCATTGTTGCTAAAACACTTCAGAGTAACAACTGGATTAATGTAGATTTTTAATATGTTACGCGTATTATTAATTAAAGGCTACAGCATACTTAGAGTATAAAGAGGTTGTAGAGTCTTACCCATTAAAATTGCTGATCTTGTGCATTGGGAAAGTTTGAACTTTTGCCCTTCTCAGTATTTTACCTATTGTAAATGAGCATTGGAAAGCGAGTCTTTTACCTTTGTTCTTTATAGTGTTATATCTGTAATATGTCTGTGAATTTAGTATTCAGAAGCTTAATGCTGGTAATGGAAGTGTTTTTGTCATTTGAATGCTGCTGACGTGTGTCAAAAATCAGGCACTCCAGAAGTTGTCAGCCAGTGACAGCTTGCACTTTGTGGTTGCATTCTGAAGCCTGATTGCTCTTGCTCATATATGGAACATTCTCAGAAGCGACAGTGGTACAGAAAACTAGTCGAGCTAGGGTCAAATGTTATGTTTACATAACTTTAGGTACATAAAACTTTGATTCCTGGGTTTGAGTGTTGTCAGAATAATTTATCACAAGTTAGTAGCTTAAGAATTACATGATATTGACAGAAATCAGGGAAAAAAATAATACTGAAACAATAAGATATTCTTGATCTGAACTTAAATCGTAGAAATGTAATCTTTGCTTTTCTCTGCATTTTATTAAATATAAAGAGCTTTATGACATGTTTCTCTCCAGTTTTGAGTCTTCTCTGACACTATTATTTGTTTAATAGTATATATTCCCTATTCCCATGTAGATGCCACTTATTCCACTCCCTGGATTAAGAAATTGGTGCTCAGTTAACCTGGCACAAGGGATGGATTTAGAAATCTAGAACATCCAGGTGGCTGGCATGTCGCAAGCTACATACACTCAAAAGCGGTTCTGGTTTTTTATGCAAACCAATTATTTCAATAAATTTCACAATAATGCACATATCGGCACCTTAATGAGTACTTTCAGGTTTTTCATAAATGAGATCTGCTTTAAAATCAATCTCTTCCTGCGCCATATCCCTTGGCAATATATTTTATGTCAGTAGTTAATATATTAATATAGCAGACAAAAATGCCATGCTATTAATTAAAGTGTCTTTAGCATGTTCTGTTTTTCTTCAGTGCTGCACAACAAAATAGACATGGATTCAATAAACAAGTTTGACATTTTTGTTCTTGATTATTCAGGTTTTAGATGATGTGGAGACACAACATCTTCTACAGTCCCTTTTGCCTGAGATTGCCGAACTAGCTCTACGACTGCTGTCTGTCTGTACCCAGGTAGGTAACTTAGCTCAGTGATTTTTGGCTTCATTTTTCAAAGCTTGATCAACTTAATCGAACTACACATAATGGAAGAGCTGAGTTGGAGCTGAGTTATGAGTTTTTAAAAGTTATGACTCCTCAGTCATTTGAAATTGGTTCATGGAGGATTAAGAGGTACATCCATAATAGGATAGCATAATAAAGGAGAACAATGTTCAGAGATGGCAAACAAAGTTTCTCGAAAGTTAGTATTCAGCATTGGAATTAAATAAGTTCTTCTTCAACCCTCCGTGCTGAATAGACAGGAAGTTATTCATTATTCATTTTATTGACACAGAGAAAAAACAAATCTGTTGCATAGATTTTTTTAAATTAGATTTTCTTTTATCAGTTGAAGTAGAAATTAAGAAGTAAATATTACAGTTATGTGCTTATAAGTTTGAGATGAGATTTTATTAAACTATCAGGTTAATTGATTTTTTTAAGTCGGGAAAGTAAGTTCTGCCCCCCCCAAAATCCTGTAAATATCTAACTGTCAAATTTCTGAGCTAACAAAAGCTTTACTGCATACTAACTGGACTAAAATCCTATTTTCAACCCCTAAATTAACAGCTTAAGTTTATTGTCTCACTTGTGTGTTTCTAAGCAAATGAACTATGCATTTGGATCTAATTTGAAGTTGAACAGATAATGCGAGGGCTTCATTTGTCAGTCAATTTTTTACATTAATTACTCTGGGTAAATGATTTACCTTCAAAGAGATTTGGGTAAGGTATAACAATACAGGGAATTATATGCTTCCCTTGAGACTGCTTGTCTCAGGATTGCTCAATGAGACAAAAAGGTGACCGGCTTTTGTAATGTAAAATCAATTCTACATTTATGTTTGTGAAACCAACGTGTTGTGACTCCGCTATATTTACGTAACCTCAAACCATTTTCTTTTATTCCTTAATTGTCCAGCTTGATTTTAATCTCATAATAAACAAGCAAATATATTTGTGAAATCTATTTTGGAGTTTTTACTTGATACATGCTACGAATGGGGATTTAGATAATTTAATCAAAACTTTTCAGATATTAAATGCTGTTGACTTTTGATAGGCACTCCTATTTGAAATGCAATAAAATAAATATACTGGAATATCAACTTTGAAATATCTAGTAATAATCTTTGAATTCCTACATTTTAGTATTTTTTCTTGTTTTATGTGGATTATTTGAGTTTTGTCAAAATGCTTTGCAATATTTCTGTGCATTCTATTCAATGTTTTCCAAAGATCTTCTCCAGTTCTTTGCTGTTGCAGAATTTTTACAGTAAAATATAATACAAATTTACATTTATGTAGTAGCTTTCAAGTCAGGAGAACATCCCAAAACACTTAACAATAATGACCTCGCTCCCAAGGTGGACATGGGAGCTAAGGGGGGGGAGGAGAAAGATGACCAAAAGAGTAGCCATAGAGGTATATGAGACGGTTTTGAACAAGGTGAGGAAAGGAACGAGTCGGAGGGATGGAATTCCTGAGAAAGGAAGCAGACTGCCTGAAAATCCATCTGCGGATGTTGGCCGTGGACACGAAGAAGACCAGTGTTCGCTGAGTGAAGAGGGCTGCTGGGTCAGTGGGATTGAAGGAGGTCACAGATGTAGGGTGGGACAAGACCATGGAGGGATTTAAAGGCGAGAACGAGGGTCTTGAATTCAATCCCTGGGGGATGGAGAGCGAATGGAACCATGGAAGGATGGGGAAAACTACATTAAACAATTTCTGGTTTAATTCACAAACGTTATCTTAGGATCAATCTTTCAAAAATCTGACCCAAACTTTCCCAACTCTTATCTATAATATCATGGTTTCCAAGTATGATTTACTACACATTTTCATATCTTTAACTTGGTGCTTAAACGTATTTACTGTATTGATTTATTTTTATGAGAGGAGATACTACAGGTAATGTGATACTTGAACAACATATAAATAGTGATGCTTACTGTCCAGGAAACAACACTGATGATCAATGAACGATCGTGGAACATCAACCAACACAAGCTAGAGGGAGATGATTGACAGATAAAAATAGAATTGAAGAAACAGGAGGTCCTTTGAGGAAATATCTGATGTTATTGAATTCCAGCATTTTTTTTCAAAAAAATGGGATATTGTAGTAATTTATACAGACACATGTGAAGGTTGTTGTAAAAATGTTAAGCATGCAGTGGTCTTTATGTCCTTCAGGACTACTTCATGCCACCTGAATTAAAAATAAAATTATTTTAACATGCTTAATACATCTTGAAAGCATACTGGATTCAGGCATTCTCGCTCTGTTGAGTTTGGTTGACCTTGTCCATTTTTAAAATTAAAAATGAACAAGATTACTACTTTCATTATTAATCCTTTCAGAAAGGAAAGCAACAATCCAACCTTATCCTGCTGATGTTCTTTGAGATGCTGTCACAGGGCAGGGGTTTTCTGCAATCTTGAAATTGAACATTACCACATGAAATTCTGTTGTTACTTTTTGAAAATGCTAAGCATAAAATACAGTTCTTATTTCAAAGGTATATGAACAATGAATGGCAGAATCCAGACTCACGGTAATGAGGACATTGAAATATGTCTAACATTTGTGACCTATCACAGATTTAATAAGACAGAGCATTGAACAGTTTAACCAAGTTCAATAAAGATCCTACTCATTCTTCAAAATTGATTGGGATCTATTGGTGACTGCCCATGGCTTCATGTTAAGATTGAGGAATTGTTGATGCCAAGGATTCTATGTTCTTGTATTGACTGATGGCTGAAAATTAACCAGTTCATATTGTGAAAGAACGTTTAGCTTCAGTGGAACTGAGCAGATTTACAGTTTTCTGATGTAAGAATAATATTTTTCAGTCTGTAATGTAAACCTCATGCATTTGCTAGATCATGCAGTGCTTCAAGATATCAGCAATCAATCCAAGCAGGCGGACAAAACTCAATCAAGAATTTGTTGAATGCTGACTATCTGTTTTTAAAACTTTTGCTGAACTATTTGGTTGTGAAGACACTTTCAGCCACATTACAATTGCAGAGATTTTGTTAGCTTTTGAAGTTTGTATTTTTACTCTTTCACATAAGAAATTATACTATTGCACTGCGCTATCATACTGTACAACTTAAGTGAAAGAATGGTTTCTGGGGAAACGTACACTCTATAAGCTTAATAGTCAATGACGAACTGAAATGTACGAGCCTTAAATTAGTTAAAATTTTTCATTCTGGCAGTTGTTTCTTGCTCTTGTGCAGGAATATTAGCACACCCATAGCTCAAAAAGAATTTTGAACTGTTCAGTACATTTGGGAGATCCTATTTAAAGAATTGAGGGCCACACAAAAGCGTTCAAGTGGATTTTATGACAGGAAGTTTATAGGTGTTCAGAATTTGACATACTATCTGAGATTGTATTAATGTCACAGTAACTTTCAGTGGGGAGATGATCATTTTTATTTCTCTGAATGCCAGTTACGTTTTGGATTTGACGGCCTTTTGTTTTGTATTTGTTCGTGGAATTCAGTTGATTGTTTAAAATTATTATGAAGTGCAGAGGATTTTTATTGGGAGACTTTATTAACTGGATGTAAGATTTGAATATTCTTTTGTTGTGACAACTTTGTTTTCAGTTGTAAAGCAATAACACTTTGATGAGACCAGTGATGCTAACCAAGTGTTTGGTAACCACAGTTACACATTTAGTTACAGGTTCATGGTTTTGAATGTAGTTAGGATAAAGTCCAGAAACGATGCTACAATTGATTATTTCTGAGGCAAAATTTCCAAACCTACATTACTGTAGCCTAATCCCATGAGTTAAGTGTTTTATGGAAAGCAAAGCACAATTATGCGCATTTATTTTCTCACAAAGAACTGGTACAGGCTGAATGTAAATTGACATGATTGTTCTGGATGCAAAACAAGGAAGATCTTGCAATAAATAAAATTGCCAGCAAAAAAAAGTATTTCATTTGTACGTTATTTCAATAAAGTACTTTTTTTTCATTCTGAATATTTTTGAAAAATCTGCTTAATGATTGTAAAGATGTATCGAAAATCAGTTTTGCAGACACTACATGAAAACGCTTAATTGTCCCGAGAACATAGATTGCAGTTTACTCCTGGAGGGATTGCTGCTTCTAGGTCAGGTCTTTTAAGCTTTTCTGTTCCCCCAGAGATTCATTATCTGCAGTATTTTTACATGTAACTGAACATATAGTGCCTGTCGGAAATATTTTATATGTATATTTTAGAAGAGTTAACTTGTGTTCAATAATTTTTCAAATTTAGGTTCAAATGAATTCCGATGTTATTTTTTCATGTGGATTGTTTTTTTTGTCAGCTGGGTGTCTGACATATGTGGAAACCCATCACCGTGCTTAAGACTATCCAAACCAAGCTGAGATTTTCATGCATCCCACCTACCTTCTTTCCATCCATCCATCATACATGATGATGATTATTAGACATGGAAATCCCAGAGATAGATTGTTGGAATAGAATGCGCACTGTTAGATTGAGTAGAATAGATAGAAATTATAATACCTTATAGCAATTATAAGATAGTGGTTTAAAATGTTAAAAGAATACTATGGCTGTTGGTTTCAGACACTGTGAGAAGCTGGCACAACTTTTAGTCCTGAAGTATGAGGTAAGGGCCACCTTGAGATAAGGGGAAGACCCTGAGCCTGGGACCAGGACAATGGGATGTGTGTCTGAAAGCTTTTTCTTGTAAGCTAGCTACACTCCCAAGGACAGTACTGGGATACTGTGAAGCCTGTCTCCATTAACAACCTTATCAGTCAGACATGCCATGAGACTATCACATGATCACAAGACTTGTTCTATGAGACGAGCAGGTTCACGTGGTGACCTCGGGATGATCTGATCAGAGGCTTGGTATAGTACCCATCACAGTATTATAAAGCCAGGGTCCAACTTACGTAAGTTAGTTAACTCCAGAGCATCTAGGAGTGGTTGCAGAGGAAAACGAGAATTTGCTTGCTGCAAAGACAAAGTTGAATCTGCAACACTCAGTAGTATTGCTCTGTTTTTTAAGATAGTCATGATGCTCTTTTATACATGTATGCATAATTAAAGTTTGGTTTGATTAAAACATCCTGAGACTCTGACCTATTGGTATTACCGAATCCGAACTTGTTTGGAGTGGTTGCAAACACTCTTAACGGCACTCTCTCCCTCACTGGTCTGCCCTTCCAGGCTGGCTGGCTGTCATCAGCAGTGCCCTTGAACACCGCAGACCCACAAAGGGCCAGCCCATTTCCCGTGTGAAACTGTGGTTACCAAACACTTGGTTAGCAACACTGGTCTCATCAAAGTGTTATTGTTTTACAACTGAAAACAAAGTTGTCACAACAAAAGAATATTCAAATCTTACATCCAGTTAATAAAGTCTCCCAATAAAAATCCTCTGCACTTCATAATAATTTTAAACAATCAACTGTGCGTCCGAAGGAGCCAGATAAACTTTGTAATTTTTAGTGGGTTTATAGGAAAGGCATAGTTTGTAACAATTTCCACTGAAAAATTGCAGCCGTGCTTTTTACTGACCCAGTTTATTACACAGCGCATATTACATTGGGCCTTTATACTTCTAATTTGTGTTAGAATAGAGATGTCTAAATGGAAGTGACAAAATTAGAAGCAGTGCATTCGTGGCAGCTTCATGCTTGGACTTTGATGTTGCATTGATGGTTAGAGCGATGTGAATGAAATGTCGATATCCAATGAATGTTTTACTTCAACTTTCCATATATTGTCTGGTTAGTAATGTCTCCAAGCCAACTTCTGCTCACCATCAGAATTCAAAAACCTGTAGACAGGAGCTTACCTCTTGTGATTTTTTTCCAGCATAAATTTCTATTCTACTTCTGTGTGAAAACTGGATACTTTTGGCATATGTTGAAAATAATTTACAAAATAATTTCTACAAATTGAATTGATAAAACTCATGATAGGCAGTTTGTGATCAATTGATCATCTTTGTTTCATAAACTCTGTCAACCTCCAATCTACTGCAGCATATATTAATATTAAAGATATAAATGTCTTATATTCGTACTGGGAATTGGGACAAATTAAATTGGGATGGTTTAATTGTTTAATTGTAGTAAGCTTCTTTATAATTCTGGAGTGAAGTGACTTGGCTTTGATTTCCTTCAATAAACATCATTGCATGATCCTGTGTTTGTGGGATTTGATATATTTTCTTTTGACTTAAACCTCTTACAAGTAGAACACCATGTTGTCAAACAGTGTCAAATTAAATTTTTTTGTATGGTTGACTAAGGACCATAGTAATAAAATGATTAAACCTTCTGAAACTAGTATGAAATAATGAATTTGAAAGAAACCAATCTTTCCTCACTGGTTCCACACAACAATTAGTTGGATTGTGTTGTAATTGTTTTTTCAGAATATTTGAAAGAAGGCATGTTTGTCTTCTTTCTTGGAATTGTTTTGAGAATTTTTGAACTATTCATTGGTCATCTGCAATACATCGAATATGAATCTTTTCCAATTAATTGCGTGAATGCGATTACTGCCACAATGCTGATTCAGGAATCTAGCCGTGTACCTAAATTACCAAATTTACTGCCATTTAGCAAATGTAATGTTGTTTCTGTGCTTGCTAAATTGCTAAACTAATTACTTCTGTCTTGTCTCCTTCCATGCCAGCCGATACCACTGCTTAAACAGAAGATGAATCACTCCATCACAATGTCACAAGAACAAATAGCCTGTCTTCTGGCCAATGCCTTCTTTTGCACATTTCCTCGACGCAATTCCAGAGTAAAATCTGAGTATTCTAGCTACCCAGACATAAACTTCAACAAGTAAGTGCAAAAGTTTCCTCTCATACGACAGCGCTTCATATTTGACATAATACACAGGTTCCATGTTCCATGGTACAAATCATCAGAGCTGATTTGTTAACTTATGCTGAATTTTTATGGATTCAATACTATATTGGGAGAAATACATCTCTGTAATATGCATTTGAATTTTCTTACTTAGCAGTCGAATAGGGAATATGGGAAGGGGGAGGAGTTTTGCATAATGAAAGAAAGGGTAGTTTTCCAACCCTGAAGAAAAGCAGGTGAGATAGTGGCACATCTATTTAAAGCCATAGTTCTACAGAGAGGAAGGACAAAGAATCTTGCCAATGATTCCCCACACAGTGAGTTAATAATCTCAACTGTGTTGCTATGAGGAGCAACCAGGTGTTTGTCCTTGGAGAAAAAGGAAAAAAAAATAAGGAGCCAGCCACTTTCTGCCATTCTTTCATGTGGTGCCGGTTTGGGAACCAATCTCAGCTCATTGCCTTGGATGGGAGGTTCTGATGCAAGGAGACTATGAAATTACAATACAAAATCAAGAAAAATGAGCGAATAATGCAAACAGCATAGTATAATAAAATAGAATACAAGGGCAAGTCCATTGAAATTGGACAATTGAGTGTTGGGGATCAGTATGCAAACAACGTCAGTAATGCAAATGTGGTTACTCTATCTTTTGATAATGTTTGAGATTAATTTATGAAATATTATACAAATTGGATGTAGTGAGTTATATATACTTTCTCCTTTTCTGCATTAAAATCTGTTCTCTGTTTAGGTTGTTCCTTTGCCACCCATATTTCTGATGGAAGGTGTGTTCAGATTGTTAAAAAATAATTTTTCATTTACATTGGATAGGGTGGATAATGGGCAAATAACTTTTATGGATGTATTGCTTTATCCAGAATTTTTTTTTTTGTTTTGCGTATATGGTATTAGACCATACCTGGATCATGATTTTTAATGCTGTGTATAGATTGGTTCGTGAATTTCAGAATAATATTTTTAAGATTTTATAACCTGGGGGGACCTTAAATGTAAATAGTTTAAATGTAAATGCATGACAAACTCTGTTAAATACTTAGAAATTATTTGTTTTTAAAAGAGTTATAAGCCTAAAATATATTGGATATTCTTTTTTTAACCTTAAGTAACTATTTTTAGTTTTATAGGTAACATTATTTTAGTATGCATAATGTGCAAATGACTGCGGATCAATATTTTATTCATAAAACATTTCCGCTCATTTTTACTTTAAAAAAATGTAATTTAACATGTCATGTATCAAATGGTTTTCAATTTGATTTTGTATTGTAATGCGATTATGAAAGATGTATTGCGGTAAACAACATAACTTATAGCAGTAATGAGCATCATCTGGTGATTCTTAGGAGTAAATTATCCAATTCAATTAATCTAATCCAGTTAGAAGAAAGTAGAGTAATGCCTTAATGTAATTCTTGTTGAAGGCAGATCAAGTGTGTAGAAGTCAGTTTCTTTAGCCTCCTGCTTTTCGTTCAAAACTGCTTAAAAATGTGTTTATCAGTGACTTAGTTGGTTGCAATCTCCCCTCTTGAGCCAGAAGTTTGCAGGTTCAAACCCCAAATTGGACTTTGAACTCAAGTTGTGTAGGCTGACACTTCAATGTAATGCTGGAGGTGTGCTGTATTGCTTGCTTGAGTTGTTGTCCTTTGGATGAAACATTAAAACAAACTTCTGTCTGCCTGTTCAGGTGGATGTTAAAGATCTCATGGCACAATTCAATTTATGTATCTATGTATCTTTTAATTATTATTTATTTATTTTATTATTTATGTATCCTAGCCAGCAACCTCCACCCCCCCCAGATAAAATTGGTCGCTATTCACCTCATGGGGGTTTATATACATAAATTAGCGACTGCACTTATCTACAAAATGCATAATCACTACACTTCACAATAAATCATGCAAAGCAAACTGAGGCATCCTTCTGATGTGAAAAGCTGCATATCAAATGTAAAATATCAAGGTAACTCGTTTGTTTTCATAGACAATAAACTGTGAGTGCAGAATTAAAGAGTGAATGCTGTTTGTGATATATGGAGTGAAACAAAAGCAGCATTATCTCAGAAGCAATCATTTTCTTATATTTTTATTTTAGTTTTCTTTTGGAACGTCTGCTGTCTCTTTCCTCCCTTCTCCCACTGGAGCTTCATTGGGACTGGCAGTATATTTAAAAATATATTTCCCTTATTGGAAACTAACATTTCTATTATATTTGATGCTTTGCTACCTAAAAAAATGAATGTAAAGTTGAAAAATCCTTTTCATTGACTGACCAGTAGCTAAACTTTTCCCCTTTTATGGTCCTGAATAAATAAAATCTATGGTATAGTGTTTAAAAAAACCTCCTAATTTAAAACTCAATTAATTCGATCAAAGGACTGAACAACCTATTTATTTTTTTTGTTTAAGTGAGCCTAGAAAGTTGGACTGCCATTATTTTCTTATAGAAACTTGACAGGTATACATGATTAATTTATGTATCCCAACAGTCCTGGAATTCAAATTAGGTTTCAGACTGGTGCTCAGAGATTCAATGCAGCTCTGATGATCATAAGGCTGTGAATGCGCCGAGCACAAGCAACTGCGTCAGAATTTATTTGTCACTGGATCAATAGTAATGAAAATAATCCTTGCGATTGCTATAGCCCCTTACCACGTCGCCAAGACGTCTTAAAGTGCTTCTTCACCTGATATACTGTAAAGTGGTTTGACTGTATTTTGTAGGCAAAATGCAGCAGCCAGTTGTTCACAGCAACATTGCACAAACAGACGTGGAGTGAATGTTCAATTTTTTGGGGGGGATTGTTGACCAAGATACTGGGAGAAACTCCATTCTATTTTTGAATAGTTCCATGGGTTCTTTAACATCCACCTGAACAGGCAGATTGCACCTCGGTTTAATGGAGGAGCTACAATGCTGACATTGGTGCTAGGTAGTAGAATCATCCTATTTTCACAGTCCTCCAGAGGGGTTTCAAAAGGCATTTCTGTTGTACAATATTTGTTTCTTAGGAGGTGAAATGGACAACTTGCTGAATACTTCCCAGGCATTTGTTGATGGATCTTTTTGAGCATCATGATGAAATTGAAAAATCAACCTTTGTTGATGACTGAACGTGCAGCAGAAATCACAGATGGTAATATGGGAGGAAGTAGCGACAAGATAAATTGGACGCACTTAGAAGACAAAATACCAGCTCCATACCCAAGGATCTTTAAAGAACCTAGAGAGGAGACAGCTGGGCTCACAAGTATAAATATATATATAATATATATATAGAAAGAGAGAGAGAGAAAGGAATTGTGCAAGAGAACTGAGAGAATGGCTTATTTGGCTCAATGTTCTCTAATGTCCGAGATCAGATATTGGTCACCATCAGTTTGAAAAGATGGTCTAAATTGCTCTAATTATTGAGGTACTGCCAAGGTGAAGTTCTGTTTTCTTTCATACAATTGATACTACAGAGAAGAATGAGCTTTTAGAAGTTGCATCATCTAACATTTTAAAACATCTGTGACTTTTCTAACTACAAGATGAAAAGTAACCCCTTGCAGCATTGAACTTTATTTGTCAAAAGACCAAGTGATATTCTTTAATTTTTGCATTTTTCCTATCTTGAAAGTAATTCTTAACATTGTTTCAATAATTTTTTTTTACCTCAAATCATGTTTTTTTTTACATTTAATTAGGTTTTAGATGCATGGCTCCTGAAAGCATGACTATGAATAGAATTTATGCTATTAGATGGAATTCAAGTCTGGTTATATGTATATGTATATGTATATATATAAGCTTAATTTTCAGTGAACTTTTAAACACTTAAAAACACGTTTTAAAGTTCTTGACTCTCTAGTTTTATAATGAACTGTTATATGAGGCAGATTAGCAAATCTGTATGTGCCTTGGTAGTGCATGTGCTTCTTTGTTTTGGTGGCCAACAATTTGGAGCTGCTAAATATAAATCCAATTTTTAGTTGTGACTACCATCTCCACTGCCTGAAACAATGTCAGTTTGATCCAGCAGTTAACATATTAATAAATGTACATTGACATATTGATAAATGTAGTCACCATAGAGTTCAGAATGGAAAGAATGTTTTGAAAACTGCACCATGTGATATTACATTACCGAACACTCTGATTTTATATTTTCATTTCCCTTTACTCATAACGTGACTAGCTGCACAATTCTTTCTCTGTCATTGTCCTGGCTGCTTCAGCATAGTTTAAACTCTGATTAGTTAAGTAAAGGAATATATTTGATTAGCATTGATGCAGCTGCGCCACACTGACAGTGAAAAGGTCAGAGACGAGCTGTGGGTGGCCTCCATGGTGTGCCTTTCCAGTAAATTGAATTAGATGTGTAGCATTCTGACGTAAGGCAGTGCCAAAAAGACATTAGTGTCTCCAAAAAGTATTGCACTTCCGTGTACTAAAGAAAATTATTCAAATCTAAATATGGTGCAGCATGCCTTGCTTGATTTATAGTTTCAGTAATTGGATGAGTAGATGATTTATTATTTTAGTAATTTTGGCTTGTACTTTTATGAATAGGAACTGAATTATATTGAATGAATTTGCTTTTGTTTAATAGTTTCTTAGTTGATTTTTGACTTTTGTATTGGCTTTTTTGTATATTCTGACTGAATTCTGTTCTGCACCACTATGAACCAGAAATAATATTGCTTAACATTTCATCTCTTGGACTGAGGTTCTCATTCAAGCAGCCAGATGGTATGAAAGTCTCCTGTCTGACAGCTGTCATTGCCCAAAGTGAGTTTTGCTGGTGTAATCTCAATGTAGTCCCCAGTGACCATAAATCTGCAGCTCGAAACTAACCTCAGATTCTGCTACAAAGGATAATGGATATGAGGAAATAGAAATGTCATGGTACAGAATGGAAAACTTGGATTGATAGATATCATATGGACAATGACCGATAAAAACAAATTCTATATTTTTTCTTTTAAGCATGTTAAGCTTGTGTAAAATTTATGTGAATAAATTTACACTTTATTTTAAGTGAAACTTAAAATTCAAAGTCAAACAAATCAGGATATAATTGTGAAAATTGGACTTTATTCCCTTTCAGGTTCTTTTGTACATCCTGGTGGATTTGAACCTCAGTGTTTGTGGATTAGCATTCTTTGAGCCGATAAAGCTGGATACCCCAAAATGAGTCTGTAAAATAGACATAACACCAAACTGATCTGTCCTGCATATATGCATATATTATATATATATAATATATATATATATATAAAACATTTTACGTCATTGAGCCCAAGCACGGGAAGAAAATTGGTCAAAATTGGATTCTTGCTCCCTGTAACTATTCAGTGGTCGTCTCAGGAAAATAAAATACATGTACATGACATTGTTTGAATGGGGGTGGCTCTGGTGCCCTTTAAGATAAAATAGCGGGGGCCTAACATCACATCTGGAGAATGGTGTTTGAGAAAGACCCAAAGAGATGAGACTGCCGGTGGAACTATATTCCTGCATGAGCCACCATCTTGAAAAGATGAGTGGAGAATATAATTTGAGGGGAGGGAAGAGAGAACAGAAGATAGGAATAGAAAACACTTGGGATGACTACAGATCATTTACATTGTAAATAAAATGTATGTAATCTGGGCAAAACTGCTTTCTCCAAGTAACTCAATTTATCACTGGAAATGCTACTTTGTGGTACTTATTCTAGTGAAATGTGGTATGAAGATTGGAATAGATTACAAAAAAGGTTGATCAGATAATGAGGCATTCGCATTTCAGCTGTTTCACTAAATTCACAAAGTGATTAAGCAGCAATCAATTAGTTCAAATCCATTAAAAGGTAAATCCAGTATTTTAGGTAAAAGCAATTAGTTTCCATCTTTTTTTAGATGCATCTTTTTTAAGAAGTCTTTGTTGAATGTGTTTTTTTCATGCAGTGCTGGAAGTGTCAGAGATTCTTTGGACGAGAAGTTAAACTGAGCTCTGTCTGAAATGAAGATAAGCGAGCTTTACAGGTTGTCTGGGTTGCCCCAGATAGAAATTGGTCGTTTTAAAATAAAATTGAGCTTTGACTGCATCAGGGCTCTTTGTGGGACATGGCTGTGTTCAATTTGACTGTGTTTGCCTATGGAAATACTCTACACAGTCAAATTCTGTGAAATGCTTCGAGACATTCTTCCATCATTAAAGATGCTTTATTAAATACAATGATGATTATTATTTTGATAGTTATGTTCAACATTCTTCATGAAAACTGTGTCAATTGATCAATTAATAAAGAATTATGGGCATTTAGTAGCAGCCAGGCTGGCTCATTGGCAGGATTTGGAACGGCAGACCAGTCACTGGAGGCAGGGGCTCTTCGCATTCAGCTCCCATTAACCCTGCAAGCCAAAGCCCTAATGGGTAGGGTGGTCCTAGCTGGACAAGCAACAGGAAAATTTGCAACACAGTGCTCATAATGGCAAGCTCGATGCATTTAGCTGGTTAGACTCAAGCCTTGGCTCTTGCCAACCTGCACCTAATACTTTCTGGAATTAGGTAAGGAGGATACTCCCTCCAGGGAGAGAATGCACATTCCAACAAATATCTCTGGAATTTCTATGTAAGGAACTCTGTTTGGTTTGGATACTCTTAAGCATGACGATGGATTTCCACATGTCTCAGGCATCTGGCTGACCTCAAAAAAAGGAAGCTAACTTCTGCTAAAGGCTATCTTGTGTCAAAAAACTGGTTTACCTGCAGGGCAATGTGTAGTTTGCATTGGCAGATGAAAAACACTGTCACTTGATTGTGGTAGTGAAATCAGTCATGTCGTGGAATCGGCTTTCAGAGGCTATATCTGTGACCTGCAGGGGTTTTTCTGCATCAGCCCAGGTTTACCAGTTCTATTCCCAACCTTGTTATATGAAAGGCCTTTAAAGTGATATTTATATCTCAATAATGTCATTTGATGTTGAAAAAGAAAAGAAGCTGTAAGCTAGCTAGCAAGGGAGTGAATAGTTATAGTATAATAGCTTAGCATTTACAGAATATCTTTTGTCCGAGCAGAAAACAATTCCAGTATTCATCTAAGGGTTTTTAGAGTGGAGCATTACATTTTTATGCACTGCTCGAGTGGTTAAAAGCAGTGTTTGTTTTCAAACTTAGAAGTTTTTTTTAAATTAGGCCGGCACACAATTAATCAAAAAGTGCCTGAGGCACCAGATTGCTTTGAAAGGTTTTCTTTTGAAAAGAATGAGATTACTGAGGAGTAAAGAGATGAGAATTAATGTACATATCCTTGTAACAACATTAAGCTGTTTCTGTCAGAGTTGGAGATCAGTCTACTCTACTCTCTGCTGGCTATTGCAGTGAACCAAATGGTTTGAAGTGCACATGCTTTATCATGTTAAAACACTCAAGGCTGCCCCAGTCTGAATCATTTATTTAACCAGTTTGACACTGGCTGTATGAAAAGTCACGAGCTGCATCTTGGGTGCGCCATCTTGGGTGCACAATCTAAATATGAATTCCGCACCACCTATTTGTTTTCATTGTACAAACATAAAAGGTCTGCTCTTTCTAATATTTCCTCAATTATTTTCTCAGATTGTTTGAAGGATCGTCACTCAGGAAAGCTGAGAAGCTTAAAACTCTTTTCTGCTATTTCAGAAAAGTAACAGAAAAAAGTAAGTTCCTACCATTTGTTATAATTAATCGGTAGTAGGACTAGTTTGTAAGCGTCTTGGGACGTCCTTCCGATGTGAGAATTATAAATATAATTTGCTGTTGTTGCAATTAAAGATTGTGCAAATAGTTTCTGTAAATGGTCTTGAAAGACTGAAGCTTTTGTGCATAAGTACTCAGAAGTTCTCTCTTGCCCACTGTAAATGACAGTTGAGTGTATAGATTGTGTGTAGCTCAACTTCAAGGAGCATACAAGCTCTGACATGGTGAACTGTTCTCATTTATGTTGTCATGGGAAGTTAGTGAGTGCAGGCTATGCTCTTCATAACGGGTGTGAAGGTGTGCAGTCTATGCATTATTGCAGTTTAAAATTTCTTGATAGCAATAATGATCTTGTCCATTTTTTAACGAATGTATGAGGTGCCACCTTTATCATTGTCCCCTCGTCACTTGAAATGTAAGAAACATAGCAATGAGTACAGTACAGTTAGAATATTGCACCCAGATTTAAATGTATTGAAACATACTTTAAAGAAAGATTTGTCTCTTTTGACTTTTGAACACCGGTACTGAAATCATCATAATTCTTAAAATAGTTTACATTTCACGAATGCTAAATGCTCAGACAGAGTTGCTGAGAATAATGTAATGACAGAAAATGCTCCTGCAAAATTCAAGAATCTCTTCAATAAAATGTGGACCATATTGCTCCATTACTCTTGGTACATTTTAAAGATTGGGTAATTTTTAAATAAATTTTTTAAATGCCAGCTATACAGTTTTTAGAAAGAAATGAACATCACAATACTTTTTCTCATCTCTGGTTCTTTTATGTGTATTGTCATCTCATGTTTGAATCCATTTTGCATTAAACATACAGCAACTGCTATATAGTACTTTATCATTAGTCATGAAAGATTGATGCATCAAATGAGAGATATGAAAGACAGCTTGAAAATCGGAAGTAAAAGTAAAATAGCATGTCAGGAATCTGATCTTTCATAGATTTAACCTGTCTTTGCTTGCAAGTAACTTTGCATTCTGAGCTCTTCGTTTTAATTGTCCTCCTGTGCTCCTTTGTCTATTAAGTCACAGAGGAGCATTTAGGAAATCATAAATTCCATACAAAGCATCTTCACAATATTTCTCTTGTAAATGTGATTTATGAATGACATAACTGAACTGGATGTGCAATGCTGTGTTCACAATGACTATTGAACTTGGAGATTTCAATCTATTAGAATACAATATAAATTTATAAAGTTTCATTGGTTAATTTCATCATCAGTTGAACTGTCAATTTCAACAATCTTCATGCTTCATACATCTATTACAAAATACAATAGTGGCTGAATAATTGTATTGCCATTATATGAATGTATTTCACCTAAATCGAACTGTTTTTGAATATGTATGTCACATATATGGTTCAAATATATTCTTTGGCACAGATGCTCAGGGGTGCTATATAAATGCAAGTTGTTATTGTTGTGCTATTATGAGTATTTTCTCTTTATTCAAGATCTATTTTCCCCCACTTATTTCCTCTTCTGAATGCACTGACTCATACAGTTACCACTGTTACTGGGTACTCTCCAGTTGTTTGTCTGACTGTTCTTCTTGTGTGAGCACTGAGTGTCATCTGACGATCAAACACTGGGGGAAGTCATTTCCAAGCTTATCCTGTCCGCTCAATATCCACACATGCATTTTCCAGAGGGGGTTGTTTGCATTACCATCAGAAGCAGGCGCCTTGACTGATTGTTTTTTCCCTCTCTAACCCTGGGAAGCCAATTATAGAACCCACATTAATTTTAGTTAACAACAGCCAACTGAGCACAGAACCTGGGGCCTTACTGTTATCGTTCTATCATCCCATTTATTCTTCTTTTGATAGTAGATGATTCCAGTATGGGCTAAAATTTAGACTTTTTTCCCCTTTGTTTTGATCTCCAGAGCATGAAAAAAAACACTTGTTCAGGTTAAATAGCAAATAATATTGTTTAAATCATGAACAAATTACTTTGATCTTACCTAGTAGTTTCAAATATGGCTACTTACATTCACAGTTTGCACACAATGAAAAGAGGTACCCTACAAAGGTGTGAAAGCAAACTGAGCCTTATTATGGGAACGCGCCCACAAAATATACAGTCACTTCACATTACAGTATATTCTGTGAAGCCCTTTGAGGGGTCTCGAAGAGTGAAAAGGCGCTGTATCAAATGCAAGGATTATTATTATATCTTTTTTCTCCAATTGGCCGCTATTAATTTTTGTGTCAACACATCAGGAAAACATTCTTTTCCCACTTTTAATTATCTTTTAGAGGATACTTTAGTAGCTTTGAGTATGATAGCTCAGCGCTGTCAGTTTTTTGAATATACCGTACTTATTTTCCATTTGTTTAACTGAGATCTGCGTTGTTTATGTCATCACGTTGATCATACACGCCTCCAGTTGAAACATGATAATAATATAATAATAATCCTTGCATTTGATATAGCGCTTTTCACATCTTCTAGACATCTCAAAGCGCTTCACAGGATATACTGTAAAGTGAATTGACCGTATATTTGCGAAACGCGGCAGCAAATTGTGCACAGCAATGTCCCACAAACAGTCGTGGACTGAAAATGACCAATTTATTGTTTTTGTTTTGGAGGAATTATTATTAGGCGTGTGGAGTAAGGAAACTTGCCCAAGATTTCGCCCTGCCTTGGAATTGAACCCAGGTGTTTCGCTTGCAGGGCGAGTGCTCTAACCACTGAGCTTCAAGACTCCACAAATAATGGTTCAATAAAAATCATTAGTTATCTGTATGCCGATTTCTGTTCCCAACCCTCTGAGCACAGTTCTTGCAATGATTTGGTTCCTCAATTTTAATATTTACAGTTAGTTACATTGACATCCTATTATACCCATAAAAGTTCAATACTTTAGAAGATAGCACAAAACCTTAGCAATTTGAAAAATTACAAATGTCCTAGTTTAAGAAATAAAACCAAATTATAGCACTATAATTCTTGCTTATTTCTTCACATTGATTTCTGTGATAAAGAAAACTAATGGTGCTCATATTCTGGGCTAGAAGAGAAACATCCTGTAATTCTGATTCTGTTTTTTTTTCCAACTAAGAATGCTAACTTTTCGTGAAGTAATTCAAACAATGAATGCACAGTTCAGATATCTCAGGAAATTTTAACATTAAGTGATAAATGGAAAGTAACCAGAGAGAAAGAATAGAAATGCCACGTGAAAATTGCTTGTGGAAATTTCTTGAACTCTGAAGTGAAAACAATATACGATTTGTACGATTTACATTTATATAGTGTATCTTATGTTGGGATGCCATTGCAAAGCGCTTGGCACCCCTGAGTGGGTATCCATGCTGGAACTAAAGGGGGTGGGAAGAGGAAAGATGACCAAAAGTGCAGTCAAGGAGATGGGTCTCGAGACAGACCTTGAACAAGAGGAGGAAGGGGGTGAATATTTTATGAAGGGGGATTTTCTATGTTTGTAAAAATGGATGAGACCCCTGTTGACTGCTTCTAAACAACCAATTTAGAACTTTACGGTCATCATAGAAGACATTATTGTCTTTTTTTAAAGTGATTTTTTTTTTTTGCCTTTCTAGAACCTGTTGGTCTGGTTACTTTCCAGAGGCAGTGTCTACAGAAATTTCCAGAATGGGAAAAGTAAGTAAACAGTCTAGCTCTATTACAATTGAATGCAACCAGTAATGTAGCTCTAACCTCAGGTTGTGGAACCTCCAACCTCAGAGGAGCTCCTACTTCAGTTCATCACATATTGTTCCATCTGGACTTCTGAGAACAGATTGCTAAATTCTATGTAAACTTGATGAGGTTGCCAGTTGTGTGTTACACTTGTGTCACTTATCATGTGTCACTTTGACCTAATGATGCTGATTGAAAACCGGCTTGTAAAAATATACGTCTTGTATTGCTTTTATCTTGTATTTGTAAAACACAGCAGTGCTGTTATTCTGTTTACAAGAATTTAATACCAAGTACCAGTTAAACAACTTTTAATAATATATTTATTGCTTATTGGTGTTATGCTGCTTTAATAGACTTCTGTTACTTGATGCACCTTAGTGAAGATGTAATCTGTAACCAACTTGAATGTGGTGAGAATTTGCTTTTTATTCAATCAGTACTGTGGATATTTGCTACAGTATCCTAGTTTAGTGCTTTCTAAATGGACAGCCCAAAGGGCATTGTGTAAAATTTTATTTGTTGGCAATTTAATTGAAAGAAGTCATTACGAAAGCTGATAGGATCGGTCCTTTGACCTAACAGATTGCACCGTCTCATACTTTGAGCCATAGAGGAAATAGATGTATTTATGGTTCTATTACTGGTCTAAATTGCGGAAGACCAACACTGCAGGAAGGCTTCAGAAATTACCAAGCAGAAGAGTTTGGTAAATTCACTGCCCTTAATTTGTATTAGACAGAAATAATGCGTAGATTTCTATACGCTTCAACCTTGAAAGTAGCTTCCTAATGCATATTATATCATATGTTGGACTGTGGTTTAATTGCAGTACTTTTAGTACATTAAAACACAGCATGGATAGCCAAAGGAGGCCAAATTTGACTTAACACTCTGAAAGGTCAAGTTGTTTGTCTGCCCAGTTTAGATTTTTTTTTGTTCGAAGCATAGGAATCTTGGAGAATCTGTACATTAATAAACTAACTTGCAAGCTGGAGTGCAGTAAGACATGGATAATCCCATGAGGTTCAAGCCTCTGGAGAATTATATGAGGGAAATGGTGAACAGAGACAAAGCACTTCCCCAGAGGTACCTAGTGTAGACCAATTAGCATCCAATTTCGAACATCATTGGAAGAGGTTTGAAAAGAGGTTGAAAGGTCAAAGAATTGTTACAAGGGAGGGGAAGATTAAATTAGCTTTCAAGATATAAGAGACTGAATTGACTGCAAAACATACACTTGTGCTGAAATAATGATGTTTTCAGTATTTTATGTGTATGAACATAAATTATCTTTGCATAAAAGTATAGTGATTCATATTAGAGCAAATTAGCCGTTGTGGTTCTCTTCTTTGATGATTATGAAAATAGAGCACAGATCTTTCTAACTATGTATTTTATTGAGACCAACCCCAGCACGATGTTTCAACAGTAAAGCATCTTTTTCATTGCATGTATTATTCACAATTTAACTTATTTTGAAAAAAACATTATTGACCATAGATGATTGCTTCAATTAAATTAGTTATTCTATCCTCAAAATATGGTAAGATATACATATTATCTATTTTATTTTTTAGCACAGTTTGTTTTAACACAGGTATGCTTACAGTGCGAATGCATTGTGGACCCAATTGATTGCATATGTGCTCAGTCTCGTAGGATTGCTTTGTTTGTGCAAGTCATTTTTGTGCTTAAAATGTCTGACTTCAGGGTCATTTAGTCACCATCAATGTCACTTGCTGCACCCTGTGCATGTATGTTGCACAGAAACTAACATCGATAGCAACCTAAGATCCGGAAGTCATTCAATCATTCAGCGCACGGCAGCCAACAGGGCACAGGAAGCAAGCCAAATTGCCGATTGTAACCTCATTTTAACCCGAGTTGGAATTTTATGAACCCCAGCCACTGTTTTATTAATGGGGTCTATTGTATGGCTTTAATTATTTGCTCAAGTAATGAAGGCAATGTGTGTTTTTTGCATGTTTGCCTTTTTGGTGCTTTGCCCCTATATACAGCATGTTTCAGTGTGTTCAGGATGTTTTGAATTTGACTATAGTAAACATTTTAGACAAAGAGTGATAAAGAGTAAATAGCAATGTAATTGTCAAGAAGTTGTCATGAATATTTTACCCTTGATAGATATTATTCTGTTTTGACGAGGCTTCATACGGCACCTTTTAAATGGTTAGCTATTTGGGCTGTATCATTCAATAGCTTTGAAAATGAAACACCAACTTGGTGTCACCTAACTACTACTTCTTAAATTCTCATTCTTTTTCTTTTTGAACTTCAATAATGGCATACACTTATGAGATTTCACTTGGAACCTATGTTTCTGAATATATTAAAAAAAAACTGTAAAGCAAGTTGTTTTTAAAGTACAAAGTTTCTGTGTTCAGGTCCACGAAGAGGCTGACCAAATTGCATATCACATGTGAAGGTACAATTGAAGACAATGGCCGTGGTATGCTTCAGGTAGGAACTGAATAAATGGTTCAAGAAATCTATGGAAAGTGCTTGATAAGTGTAAACTGATTAGTTTACCTTTGGCAAGTGTTTATCAAAAATGGGTGATCACTCTACATATAAAACAAAATATTGCATATTATTTAATAAAATATCCTCACATGTGAAAGGTGTGATATTAAATGCAAGGATTATATGTTTTTAAATAACTCTCCTTCCAGTTTGTTGTGTGCAAACATATTAATTGCTTTTTTGGAATGACAGAGAATACTTGAGAATAACTGTTGTGAATTTTGTTTTCCTTGAATAACCATGCAGCTCTGGCTTGCAAACAGTAACTGCCCAATCATGATATTGTATGAGGGTTTACTCCAATTGCTTTTCCATTCAGCTGTAGATTCCTAGGCGCTTAATACTTGAGCATTGTTCCCTCGGATAGGTTTTGTGTCTCCAAGCTCAGCCTCCAGATAGAGAATGAGAAACAGAGACCTGATGCTGCCCCCCTGGTAGAGGGAGAGAAATTGGTATAATTCAGTTGCACCCTCTTGCTTTAAATCTATCAACTAAACATGAAGAATCATTGTTCAGGTGGACATTAAAGATCCCATGGCACAATTCAAAAAGAGAAAGGAGTTTCTCCCGGTGTCCTGGCCAACAAATCCCCCAAATAAAATTGGTTACTCAGTCTGTGGCTGTTTGTGGGACATTGTAAAACCGGCTGCCACGTTTGTTCCAGAAAATACTCAATCATCCACTTTACTATATATCCTGTGAAGCGCTTTGAGAAGTATCAATGACTTGTTAAGGTGCTATATCAAATGCAAGCATTATCAATATAATTATTGATTTTTGTCATGGCGAAGCTAAGAACAAATTCTCTTCCTTTCCTGGAAAAGTTAGATGTGTGATGGCAAGAACCATGTAAAGGGTGAAAATGGGGAAATGGAACCTCTCTTAAGAGAATTCCATCACTTCTAGGTTTGATTTAATTGAAACTATACATATAGCCCTTTAATTAGCTGAGATTTGGGCAAATTCTCTTGCAGTGCCGTTGTGGGAAAATGGACCGTTTTTGATAATTAATTGCTTTTCAATATAATTTAATCCAATGGTGATAAATATGTTAAAACTATCTTCTTGTTCTTGTTATTGCTTAGAATATGGCATTATATGTAGTATATATGCACTGGATAGAATTCAGACCGCCAACTGAGAGGCTGTTTCTAGATTGATGCAAGGATCCATTTCAAAAAACACATGCTGATGGATTGATTTTGCAGCCTGAGTGCTATCCAACCACTAACAGCTTATGGTTGCTTCCTTTGTCCACCAGGCAATAAGTGCAACTGGATTGTTTGTGTCTCCATGACAGTTTTCTAGAAAACAGTCATGCCATTCCATCACCAGACTGTTGAAGTACTGAGGCATTTTGTTGGAGAGGAGGGGAAAGAAGGAAAATAGAAAACAGCTGCTTCCATTATATTTGCTTTTGAGTGAGCAAAGGAGATGTGCCTAATTGGATAATGTGGAGATGTAACTGTAGGGAGTTTGACCAAATCCAATTATGATTGAGTAGAGATTGCTTATCCATGAAGTAGAACTGGGGAGAATGTGTAATCTCAGTGCACCCTGGGGATTAACATACTCAAATCAAAATAGTTTTAAATTTAGAAGCTTTATAGAATGTTAAAAAAAAATTCTCTTTACCTTAACAAGTCTTAATAAATCACAATTATATTCCGTTACTATATAATTGAAGACTCAATTCTGATACAAAAGTTGCACCCTTGATAAACAGTATTTCCATGAGGGTACGGAATGATAATTTGACTTTTGTCAAATTATATTTTATCTTAAGAGTTTTACGTAACTCTTGGTTTAATATTGTGACTACAGAATGGAAAAGAAAATGCTTGCCGAGGGATATGGCTTATATTAGTATCTGAATAATAGGCTGTTTTTTAAAAGTGCATTGAGCATGTTGCAGCTTGGAATGAATTACATGTACATGAAGTTGCTGTTGGTCATTGGAAAAAGTCAACTTAAAATCTTGGCCCTGAGGCAGCTTCTATCATTTCTCCACTTCGTTTTTAACATGCTTGAAGGAGCTGTAATGGCAGCTGTCATCTGAGAAGTTGGAGACCAGAGCAATACCCTGATGGGATCATAGCCTCATCTCAGTTCTTTTTTCTGTTGAATTCATGAAGCAATTTTAAAAGAATATGCTGCTTCTAATGTGAAAGCATGAAAATCTATTTACTGAAGTTCAAATTCAATTCGAAATTTAGAAAAATAATTAAGCCCATTAACACTTTCAGTCTTAAATTGGAAGGTTTGTTGATAAAGGTATGAAATTTTAAATTTTAAATACAATTTTTGATTGTACCGAGACCAAGCAGGAGAATGGATTTTTAAAGCAACAGAAATTACAGCTTAGGAGGAAAACATTCAACCCATTAAGCCTATGCTGGAGCCAGATCCTCCACTGGAGCACTTGCTCTAATGGTTTCAGCCTCAATAGCCACATGTGACCAACTAATAACATTTCATCTTGGGGGGGGGAGGTAAGTGTGGTCTCTTTGGAGCTGAGCTGGTTCATTAATGATGAGCTTGGCATTGGAACATTGAAATTCAGTCAACCCTCTGTAGTGGTCTCAGTAATCTAGGTCTTTTGCCAAGTGGGTCCACAGTTCTCTAGGGCACTGATGATGATGAACCAGCCAACCTGGCTTGTCGGCAAGACTTGGAGCAATCCATGAGAATTGGGATTCTTTCCATTCTTTGCTTGTTAACCCTCCAAGTCAAAGCAATAACTGATAGGGCAGTCCTAGCAGGAGAAGCAGCAGGAAGCTTACCAAGCAGTGCTCTCAAAGGTATGCTAAGCAGTTTTAGCTGAATAAACTCCAGTAGAGGCCCAATATACATTCTGTGATTCCTGACTTTGCTATCCCCTTCCTGATTCTTAATATGTGGAATTAGGAAACAGGCTGCATCTTTCCAGGGAGAGAGTGCACATTCCATTCTGGACACTGGAAAATTTCATGTGTAGGTGGAATACATTTATGGAACACTCAATATAGCTTGGATGCTCTTAAGCACAGTGATGGGTTTTAGCATGAGCCAGACATCTGGCTGACCTCCAAAAATGTGTGGCAAAGGTTTCCATGTTCCAATCTTCCTCTATATGAAAATATTTTTCTCAAACATTACTATAGTGGAAATCCTGAGCTTGTGCTCTTGCATGACTGATTTACCAACCAACAAGAATAATGTTTCACTGTCTATCCTTTCAAAGCCTTTCATAATTTGAAGCCATCCATTAGATCCCTCTTAACATCTGCTCTTATGAAAACTATCTGTGATGCCTAACCTCCTCCCTTCTGGAGTTCTGAAATTATGTTGTGCCAGTGAGACAGATGTCATTCTTCAGGCACTTTTGCATAAGACAGGAGCGAAAATTGTATCAATACATTCATATCTTACAACCAAAGTAACAGAACAAAATGGCAGTTTTTTGAGTGCTGGTTCCCATTCTTTTGACAAAAACTGCAAAAGATAATGCTGCAGCATTTCTGACATTATTTGCATTTAATTCTGGGTTTTAAAAGTAAGACAAACTCCTCTTGAAAGCAAAACTAATTAGTTTTGCTTTCAAGAGGAGGTTGTTTTACTTTTAAAACCCAGAATTAAATGCAAATTGTTCCAAAATTATGCTAATTTAATGCACCTCTGCTTGTCTTCATCAGTGTTCTGTATGTTGAATTATTTCTGTTTGTTTTTATTGGTTCAGTTTAATCTCCTTGCATATTAAATGCTGTTCACACAAGTGAACCAAAACTAATAATATAAAATTGGTTTTAGTCTCCATATTATATTTGTTCTGATTGAATAAATATGAACCATAGAGACAAATATACTGGAGTGATTGAAATATTGAAACGTTTTCACTGATTTTGAAGTGTGAATATAACCAAATCTGTTTTCTCTATTTCTTTCTTGTGTTTTCTGGTGTAATTGCTGCTTGAGAAATTGGATGAGTGAAGTGTTCGGCGTTTTCCGATTGTGCCTTTTAAAAATAACATGCACCAGTAAATTGTTGCAGTGCTACATAATGCCAGCCGTTGAGACTTTTCCCACACATTTATATTAGCAATTACTTTTAGATCTGTGGACCAAATACCTTCTTTTTATAACCCAGTTATTAAATAATAGTTTCTTGCCTTTTGGATTCAACTGCTATATGCCAACGAAAAAACCTAGTAAATCTAACATGAATTCTCATAAACCTCTTGGTTTTTGCATCCATTTTCCTTTGTTCTCAGTGCAGCATTCATTGACTGATTAGGGGTTACTACTATGCTGCGAAATATCCAGTTGAAGTAGGAAAGCTATAAAGTTTCTCACAACTGTGAGCACCAATTTGATTGTTGTAAAACATTGCCCAAAATGTCCAAAGAATGGTGTTTCACAGAGGCAGCAGTTCAAGTTGTAATTTTTCTCCAGCAGAGCAGCCCATGGTTTAAATCACTCAAAAAATGTGTTTGCAAGTCAAGTACTGTATTGAATTTGCACCATTCTTTATAATAAAGCCGATGCACCAGTGCATGTATATTCCTATCCGATAGAAGACCTGCTGTGCTGCAACTCATCGGTGAGGAATTACTCCTACAGAACTCCACTAATTGGTGTTAGATTGTGCATGTTTAGATAAAACATAGGATTGCAGGAAAAGAAGAGGATATGTTGTGTAATTAGAATACTGAGTTTACTTGTTTGCTCAAAGTAGATAATCATATAGCCTATTTCTGATGAATGTAAATGTCATTGAGAGCACCAAATTAATGGCATTATATTCTGGTGAAAGATTTGGTTTGCAGGAATCATTACAATGTGGTGAAGATAGACATGGAATTTTACAACGTATTATGTATGTCTGTGATGATGTGAGGAATCTTTAGTGAGAAATTAGCTCACTATAAGCGCTCCGGAATTCTGCCAAGCACTCCGGGATGTTACCCCGTGTGAAGGGCGCTATATAAATGCAAATTGTTGTTGTAGTTCCCTTTTTGGAGCTCTCTACTTGAATCCCATTCCCCTTCTCTTTTCCCATATTTTTTAATAGTATTTATTTCAGTTCCTTGTCACTTACAGACTTAGCTTCAACAATCATTTGTGGTAAGACAATCCATATTCTAATAATATGTGTAAAAGTATCTATTGTAGTCTTCAAACCCTTCCCTTTCACTGGATTAGAAATCTGTTCACAAAGCCTGTTTATCTGGGGTTCTGGAATGAAAGTACACACAAATGGTTAAAATGTTGTTTAAAATCTTTTCTTTCAAGAAGGGTGCTTCCAATGAGGTCAGAAAATAATTTCAAAGAAGTAGCTTTCAGAGCTAATAGTAGTATCTCACCAAGCCTTAGAATAGCAGGTGGGAGAGTGAGAAAAAAAGAGCTTAATTAGCGGTAGTGTTGTGCAGAATTGGAAATTGAATAGTTGTCAATTCATGTTGATTTGTGTGTTCTTCACAACTGTAGCTGCCAATGTCCTGCTGGTGCACTGGTATCGCTGTGCTGTTACAGAGCATCAAGTTGTGGTGTGCAGAACCATGGTGGTTCAACGGGACTGTTCTGCTGTACTTAGATTTTGGAGACACTTTTTGCCTTTCTGCCTTTCTCCAGCATGAGGAAAGGGAGAGCATAATGGGAAGAGAAAAATAAATCAAATAGAATTGCATTTGTAAATTTGCATTTGTTTTGATCGGTTTTAGGGAGATGGCTAGCTGGATCTAAAAACAGCATAGCAACAAATTTATTTTTTCCAGAGACAATGACTCTAAGCATTTACAATATGTTCTTCAACATAAAGGGAGTTATACAAATGTTTGTGCCCTGTCGTTAACAATGCTTGCTGCTCTTCCTTAAAAATGGTTCAGCATTACATTCAATATGCTCTCACAAATGTTTTTTATAAGAATGAAATCAACTCATAATATTGCTTTTAGAGTACTTTGTTACAAATTACTGGTACAACTAGAGTGCAAGGATAAAATTGAGAAGCACATATTTCTAAAACTATAATTTATCTGTCAATCAAATGACCAACTGAGATAGAAAATTTGCTGTATCAGTGACATTTGATTGGCTAAATTGGCCTTTGCTGGTCAAAAAGAACTGAAGTGATGGAAGAGAGTGAACCACGGGGATCAGAAAGGGAAAGTCAGATGATGAGATTCATTATTGTGCTCTTGAATTAAATATGATTCATTCAGGGTAATTATTAAACTTTAAAAGAGCAATCTGTCTTTCCTGGAGATCTACATCAATCAAATATATTCAATGATGGACTACTTGTATTTGGATGCCAAAGAAAACATCAATTTGCATCTCCATAACACCCTATATGTAGGGTAAAGTCTCAGAGCATTGTAGAAAGATGGAATTGGACTCTGAGCAAGGGAGGTGGCCATCGGTGCAATCCAAGAGGTAGGCTTTGAAGCTGGACTTAGACCAGGGCACAAAACAGTAAGTGAGAGGGAGGGAGTTTGAGAAGATAGGGATATAGTCTGAAGACGAGACCACTGATGACGGATGGAGAGAGCCTGGCTCAGGAACCAGACAATCAGAACCGTCATAAATAGTTGACTCAATTTTGACATTCCATTACCAAGTGTATCACCTTGGTGCAAGATCAGCTTCGAGGACGATAGTCATGAGTTTTTCTTATAGATGGTGGAGTTTAGGGAGAGCTGGGAGGAGTGCAGCAGAAAAGTCTCCACATGTGCAAATTATTTGCACATGTGGAGACGTGTAAATAATTCTATAATTCTTGCATTTGACTTAAAGCCTTCTCACGTTGTTGAAATGTCTCAAAGTGCTTCACAGGATTTATTGTAAGTGTATTGACTATGATTTGTAGATGAACCTGGAAGTAATTTGCACTCAGCGAAGTCCCACAAATTGCTATAAAGTGAATGACCAATTTATCTGGAGGAATGTTGGCCAGGATAGCAGAAGAAACTTCTTACTCTTTCAAGTTGTACTATGGGATATTTAATGCCTATCTGAATAGGCACACAGGACCTCAGGTTAACATCGAAGGACGACACCTGCAACAAAACAGCGCTCCACAGCATTGTACAGGAGTGTCAGCCTAATCTATGAGCCCAAAGTCCCAACAATGGGTTAAACCACAATATTCTGACCTGGATGCTAAGAGTACAACCAACTGACTCAAGTTGAAAATCATATCTCGGAACATGTCAGTGATCAGGGGGTGAGAAAACATTTAAAAACAAAAATAGTGATTGAATATTTTGATTTCAGGTTGACTTTGCAAACAGATTTGTTGGAGGTGGTGTCACACGTGCTGGCCTTGTGCAAGAAGAAATTCGCTTTTTGATCAATCCTGAGCTGATTGTCTCACGGCTGTTTACAGAAGTTCTAGACCACAATGAATGTCTCATTATTACAGGTTTGTTTCCTTTTCTTACCGAAGTCCCTTATTGAAGTTAATTGTTGCTCCTGAAGAGAATTTTGAAGTGCTTTACTTAAAAACTCATGACATTAAAATGAATTTGCTCTTGCTGAACATTTTCTCAAAAATTGTTACACAATACTTAATGAGCCAATTCTGCTAACTACTTTCCATATAAATGTCTTCATGACTATGTTAGGATTCTTCTCTTTGGTTTAAATTTTCCCACTGGTAGCATTCACTAATGTTGATTTCTATTTTTACTGTTAAAAAAAGTTCCACAATCTATCAGTTTCTCAATGTATGTATTTCAGGTATGATGATCATCTTCACTATGTGGTGTGTATGAGGTGGTTGTCTAATCTGTATATCATTAATATTATTAATGTGTATCTAAACACGTTAAGACACTACCCTCATGAAGAGTGCTATATAAATGCAAGTCGTTACTGTTTCCAAAGAACTATCTCATAGGGCATTGACTATGATTTGTAGATGGTGAAAGAACTATCTTATCTCATAGTTCTTTCACCTGGCAGCTTTACTGTTAGTTTAGCTGTTTACCCTAGGTCGTATGATTCGTGGCTAAAGCTTCTCAATCTTGACACATGATGAATTATATGAGAAAGAACAGTGAAAAAAATGCTCCAAAGACCTGCCAAATCACCAGATTTTGTCATAAGAATTGAGAGTTGTCACAAATAAAAATCAATTGCAGGCACAAATTGACATTCGATTTCAACTATGTCAAATAGAAGTGCTAAATTCATTTATCAGATTAAACTCTTGAAAGTTGCACCTGGTTGATTATTTTCATAAACCCGTAATTTCAAGAGGAGCAGTGATATACTTGATTGTTTTGTTTAAAAACTTGTAACATTTATACGTTTGTCTAAAGAACGGCAAAATCCAACAATTCCTGCATCTCTGAGCAGATGATGAGTACATAAGAACATAAGAATAAGGAGCAGGAGCAGGCCATTCGGCCCCTCGAGCCTGCCCCGCCATTCAATAAGATCATGGCTGATCTTCAGATCTAACTAATTACCTGCCCTATCCCCATATCCCCTAATCCCTCTTTTTTAAAAATCTATCAGTCCCAGCCTTGAAGTACAGTTTCAACAACTGCAACACAAAGTCATTCATAGCTGACCAGACCAATATCTAAAACTCATTTATTACTGGTTGTTCCCTGGAGGCTTTTAAACTGGCTGTTATTTTCAGTGTTAAGTGAAAAACTATGTGAGGATGGTAAACATGTGTGGCAATCAGTCATGAAGTGACTTTTTATCTCTAAGCCCGTTTCCAATAGATTCTGATAATCAACCCTGCTCTGCTGATTAAGGTACCTGATTAAAAGCTCGGTCTGATTATTCAAACTTTCTTCCAATTACAAGTTGAATTTATGAGGAAACTGACTTAGGAAACTAACTGGCACAATTAAGTGAGAATTGTATATACTGGACATAAAGTAGGATTGGAGCAGAATGAGTGAAGCACATATTAAATTGGAGAAATGTGTTCCTGTAAGTTTTAACTGAGCAAACTGTAACCGACTCAAACAAAAGCAGACTTTTTTCATTTTTTTAAAAACATGCTTTGTCCTGAGTTGATAGAGCAGCTTTGATTGTGAAAATGTATTGTGTTGCTTGTGTTGTGTAATTGGTTTGCGACACTAAGTTAATACTTTTTCTGACTGGTTTAACAATGTGTAATTTACTTTTACTCATTCAAGACTCTTTGAAGTAGACCAATATATATATATATAAAGACAAATTTATATGGTGTACTCTAACTAAATTAAAGAAACTTCTTCAAGATAGTGCCAAGTAATTGCATTTAAAAGATGACTTTCTTGTTGTTGTAAAACAGTTCAGTGAAATGGGGATGTTGGGATGACATGTCTTATAACCTGGTTGATGTTACTGAGATTAGAAATCACTACTTAAATTTAAAAAATCCACAGCCTTAGCTGAGATTTCATGAGTGGAAAACAACAACTTTCATTTATATAATGCCTTTCACAGAGGACAACATCTTTACAATTACAAGGTCAGACCGCCAAGCCGTGGAGAGGGAGGAGCAGTAGGTACCTAAAGGCCCAGTCAAAGATGTAGGTTTTAAGGCAGAACGTAAGAACATATAATAATATTATTAATCCTGGTATTTGATACAGTGCTTTATCATGTCGTTGAGACATCTCAAAGTGCTACCCAGGATTTTTATTGTGAAATAATAACAGTCATTATGTTTGGTATAATACCTTTCACACCAGGAAAAATGGAACTTGATCTATCATGGAATTCATATACACCGTTTCCTGATTGTAGTTAAGTGGCGACGCTTTCTTACAAAGTGGAAGAAAAATGCAGGCAGACAGGCATCCTGGGCTTCTTTCATGCATCACCTGGCAGCTGATCAAATAACGATTCGCAGTGTATTTTCTCAGCTGGGGAAGGTCCATGATGTAAAGCATCTATGGTTGGGAAAAGTGGAGAAGAAAATAAAATGTTAATAGAATATCCAAGAATCTAGGCAATAGAAAATTGAGGCACTTGGCCACTATGGATCACGGAAGACACTGCGTACTTGCAGGGGAGAGAGGATTGGTATGAAAACAACTTAGTAAAATAAAATGCCACATTTGTGCTAAATTATATCAATTGTATTAATATACAAAATAAAAGCTTGTTTCGATTAAATCAGCCACTGCATAGCTGAGAATTGTATAAAAACAAATTTCTTTTCGATATTTTGTAATGTTCCAACTCAGCAATTATGATTTTAACAAATGTTTTAGCACTTAGCATGTGAGACAATAAATTGAGCCTACAGACAACAGATAAAATTCAGCTTCTGAAATATAAATGGTTCAAAAGTGACATTGAAATCTTCTTGATCTTTCTCCAAATTCAGGGTATGTGTGTTCCAAGCTCAACAGCTATGGGTTGTGATGATTCACTCTTAGCAAAGTGACTTATATTATTGCTTTCTGTACTTACACAGGGATTTTCAATTCAGGCCCACTTAGTGTTATTGTCTGTCTACAGAATTAATAGTCATGGGGTTATTCTGGTGGCCCCTTAATGGAGAGGAATATTTCATTGCACTTGTTATTCAAAGTCCAGTACATTTATTTCCATTTCTGACTGCATAGGTCTCCTTAATGTCACGTCTGGCTGATATATTCATTATATTTAGTTATGATGCATCCAGACAGAAGCCTAATGGAAATAACCAAGTTGATAGATCTGAAGAAGGGGCCAAGTATAGAAAGCACATAATTACATTTCTTTCAGATTGTACTGTTTTTGGAGAACGTTAGAAGAAACATTTTGTGCTGTGGTGAATGTTATCCCATCAGGGAGATGAATATTATAAGACAGGATAGTTTGATGCAAATCTCAGGGTCAGGATGGTAGTTTTAATGAATTTTAGTGACTTAATTGGCATATCTCCAGATGGCAAGAGGTGGTATTTTAACTTTAACTTAAATGCTATTGCTATTCATTTTGCTTTTGCTGGAGGAAGATGATAGTCATATGAAGGTCAGCTTCAACTGAAAGATTAATGGTGTTCCCAGATTGTATTTTGAAAGTCTGATTATAGGTTGAACATCTGATTGCAAAAGTGACAAAATTAAACCTAATATTTCTGCACTCAACATTTTTTAAAGAGGATCTGTTTTGTCGTAAAGATGTATTTTTCAGATGTATTCAAACAGTTACTTTCAGTGCAGCATTTTTATATTATAAAATACTTCTGATGTTTCAATGCACTTAATTCAGAGGTTATCCTTGGAGGGAGCAGACAAAAAGGTCACTTACTTCATTTCCTTTTTTTTGCTATTGTTGCTGTTCACTTAACTCAGACATTTCTTTCAGCTTGTCAATATGTCAGAATTTTAAGAAGTAAAGTTCTGGTGGTATTTGAAGTCCACTGCCCACACCAGTAAATAAACATGAAGCTGATATCTGTTTCTTCTGTCATCATTAAATTGCTTTCTTTTATTCTGTCGGTTAAACAGCTGTGCTGGAACAAAAGTCTGTCATATTGCCTTTGAGTTTAGAATTATGTGTAGGAAAACAAGTAATTTCAAGATTGAACAATTAGAAAAGAATCATTGGAGTTCACTGATTAGAGATTCGTTGTTATGCACCATTTGAAATGTAATGCTGTTTATCAAAATGGCAGAAGGCTTTGTTGTGTGCACCAGACTTCTTTTTGGAGTTTTTTTTATTGTAAACATTGCTTTTTGAAGACATTTAATTGTCACTGTTTGTGATGAGAAGTTTGATTCTGACATCACACAAAGGGTTATGTGGCTTTGCATAAGTACAGTTAATGCAAATTGACCTTTTAAGTGAAAAGGAATATTTGATTAAGCACAGAAGCGAAGATTGGAATGTCTTTAAGGTTGTAATTCTGAAGCTGGTTGACTGGAGTACGATAAGATTGTTAAGAGTCAAAGAGTAGAGCATTATTTTATATTCATGCAGTTTAGTTTTATTTCAATAATAAAAATATTCTATGCATTCAATATGCTTTGTCGGATTTCCTGTTGGAAGAGAAAAGATAAAAGAAAATTATAGAATTTTTCTGGAGGGATGAGAGCGGATGGCCTTCTTCATCCAGACCGATCTTGAGAATTAAAATTTAGATTTAGCAATAAAACATTTTCAACTTTGGCAATTTACGTGGAGCCCAGATAAAATAATCCATGCATTTGATATAGGCTTTCAGGTCAGAAGGAAATCTCAAAGCACATGAAATATTCTCGATGGAGTGACTGTATATTTTGTGGGTGAACACACAGCCACCTTTGCACACACCATTGTACCACAAAACAGCCGTGAAGTGAATGAGCAATATTGTTTGAGGTGAATGATAACCAGGACACCGGGATCGCTTTCCCAGCAGTGGCTTGGGATCTTTAACGTCCAAGTGATCAGACAGTAGGAACATTGTTTTAAAGCAGCATTTCTCAAATGTGGCCAGAGCAGCCCCACCTACACTGCATGAGATCTGCATCATCTATTGACCTGCTTACCTAATAAAGAATAGTGATGTTGAAGAGGCCACCTAACTAAACTGAAATTAAATTGTAAATAGTTTCAATTTGTTCTCTTCATATGGCAGCATTAAAATCTAGAGAGTTCACTGAGAAAAAACAATTTTAATAAATCCACAGCTGCAATTAACATTTCCTTCAATGGCTCATGTGATTAGACAGCATTTTAGCAGCTCTCATGTAAATATAACCTGTAAGAGAATCATGCTAAAGGGTTTCAGTAATTAAATCTATAATTCTGATTGTTGATAGTGGGGGAAGGGACTAAAGTTAGCATCTTTCTCTTTCTGAGATGATGGTGAACAGTTTTGTAATTCATTAAACATTCCACCTTGCCGTCCACCTCACTGCCCTTAGACCTATCATTTCAACCACGCTTTCAGTCACTTTCCTTCCCCCACTCCCCTCATCAGCCTCCCCCACCCACTCAGCTCTACAATCAGTTATGTGAAGCACTTTGAGAAGTCATCCTGAAGTGAAAGCCGCTGTATAAATGTAAATTGTGGTTTGTATTGATATCTTACATGTGCACTTTCCAAAAGGGGTCACTGGAGAACAATTGGAAATGAAAAGCTCTGACTGATTTATTTTCTCTGAGGTCAGTAGTGCCATGCCTAGAACTGCCCTGGCTGGGATGAGCAAACTCAGCATCAACCAGAAATTAAACCAATCCTCTAGAATTTATGGCTATAATGGGTGTTTTTTTTTAACCAAACCATCAGTGAGACATTTTATATTTTGGGAATAAAATTAGTCAAATCTACATAAATTTAGAGATCAGAGTTGCCTGAGTCTCAGTATTAGTCAACAGCTTTAACATCACTTGGTATTATCAGTTTTTACTTGAAAGCAAAATATGCTTTTATGCTTTCCTTTTTCATGCAGTGATGGGAATGTGTGTGTGAGCTTGAACGTCAATGAGATAGATCTATGCTGTTGATAGATAATAACATTCCAAAACCATGATTAACATTTTTTATATCATTACTACTGGTTTATTGAGAAATTCTTTGTTCAATATGTAGTATAATCTGTTAATTTGCTGAATTGCCATGTGATGATGCGCTTAAATTTGTTGTAATATTCTCATTAAGAATCCTGCTGATAGTGTGAGAGCACAAACACTGAATACTATAATTTGTTTCTTTTTTATGACAGGGAAGTTTCAATAAGTATGAAATAAATATATAAGCTATGAAGGAAAAATGTAACTCAAAAAGATGAGATTCATTCCTGACACCAACTATGCATTTCTCTGAAATTATTTAAGATCGATATTCTTATTTTTATGGTAATGTTGACACATTCGGGTAATTCGGGGTGGTGAATTCAAGTTAACAGAGTTCAGTTTGATGATAGGAAAGAAAATTTGCTTATAAACTATCCAGAATTGCTTTTATCTAAAATTTTACTTGCAAGTCATATATGTGTACTTTGCAGGATAGATTCCGAAACATAATTACTACTTAAGGCCTGGAGCAAATTGGAATAGATAATTTCTAGTTAAGACATCTTGGGACATCTGAATATCTGTGATACTATTCTTGTATTTGATATAGGCAGGAGGTTGTCTCACACAGCACTTCTCACAGGAGTGACTGTATTTTGTGGGCTAAGGCAGCAACCAATTTACACACGTCAAAAAACCTGAAGTGGCCAATCTTACCTGAGGATTGTTGCTACTCCCTTCTCACGTTTTTTTGAACAGTGCCACAACACCTCTATTGTCCAGTGAATAGGCATACAGGGCCTTGTCTCACCTGAAACACTGCATCTCCAACAATGCAGCAGCCCAGTATTGAATTGAATTAGCAGCCTAGACTGTGAGTTCACAGTCCTGAAGTGGAGCATGAATCCACAACCTTCAGACAACGACAAAAACAACAACTTTCATTTATATAGGGCCCCTCGTGCAAGGTAGTGTCCCAGAGCTCTTAGACTTAGAGAGAAAGCTGCTATAAACTGTAGCCTGAAAACCTAGTGAAAAGTTGAAAAGTGAAATAGCACTAAAAAGAAAACCTCTTATCAACAAAAATGTTCCATTCAAAGGAATGTGAGAAGAGTGATCTTGTACATTTGGAACAAACCCAATCTTCAGTTAAATTTGTTCTTAAGGTTGCTGTGATGTTGATATGTCTGTTGTTCATAAAATGTTTTGTTATCTCTAATTGGTGTTCAGTTATATTATCCTATTTATAAACTTCTTTAAGGTTGGCAACGTAAATGGCAGTAGCATTGTAAACAAAATATCAGTTGATGTCATCTACAGTGCAATTTTTTTCAAAATGAATTTGTTCACATTGGATTTTGCACTAGTGAAAGGGTTATCAGCTGCAGTTTCTCATGTTCAAAGTACAGTATATCCTTATTTGTGTGCTGTTTTATTGTCACTGTTAATACAGCAACAAATATGGTATGCTACAGTTGCAGTATTGACAAATAAATCCCACAGTCACACGTACTCTCAATTTTCTTATCCAAAATCAGTTCTTATCTAAATTTGTCAGAATTATCCTTGCAAATCAGTGTTATTTTATGCCAAATAATTATGTGAACAGCAGTGAATCTTGTTATTTTTAACATTTGTGCAAGATGTTTTGCTTAAAAATCAGAGTATGGATGGAAATGAATTATTTATTTATTTTGTGCAGAAGAATAATCTAGTTCCATGTTGAAACTTACATTAATATCTGTCTCTTTTGTCCACAGCCAAACTCATTTTACAGAATCTCTGAATTAAATTTCTTTGTTGACTGATTTGATTGTTCAGAATCAAAATAATTTGGCTTTTCTCAGCAGGAGATTAAATGATTTTTCTGTTCTAGTCATTTTACTTTACTGTCTGGTAAAATTAAAGGAAAAAAACATCTAATTTTATTTCTAATCTATCATTTCAAATTATTTTGATATTTTAGGCACTGAGCAGTACAGCTCATATGAAGGCTATGCAGATACTTACAAGTGGGTTGGAATTTTCAATGACAAGACTCCAAGGTATTGGCATAAGATTGTTGTTTGGATTATTTAGATTAAATTTCCAGTTTCAGTTATTTCAGAATTGCATTGATTTTCTGATGGATTTTCTTCTTTTTAACAACCATTCAGGGAGCTCTGGTGTATGTTCTGCCATATGCAATATGTTCTGTCGGTGACACTTCAAGAAATTGGGTTAAAGGATAGGAGAGCTGTGATGTCATCAGTGGATATTTGAAGCAAAATTACCATTTTTAAATTCACTATTGCTTATAATTATAGATTTATTGTTTGCTTTTCTCAATCCTATTTTAAGTTTTGTGTGCTGCTTTAAGGTTCCTTCTGAAATGCCTGCTTTCAAGCTCTCTATGTAAGACCTTTGTTGCCTCCTCTGATTCCAGTTTCCTCTCCACCCCCAACTTGATGACACCTGCAAAAGTAACTAACTTGATAGAGAGGGTCTTCAAATACATGTCATTAATGCATACAAGGAACCAGAAGGGTCCAAGTACAGACCCCTTAAACACCCACTTAATGCCTCCCCACATTATGTCTCACCTCCCCTCACAACCAACCTCTGCTTCCTTCCCTATAAAACAATTCTGAATCTATTTCCACGTCTTCCGCTTGATACTCAGTGACCACAGTTTGTGAAGGAGTCTTTCAGGTGGTACTTTGTCAACTGGCTTTTGGAAATATCGAGACACAATGTCATTTGGCTTCCCACAGTCATGTTGGGCTGTCACCTTCTCAAAAAAGGGCCGCTGTGTTCTCACGGTGCCACTTAGGGGTACTGTACTAGGATTGTCTGATTTGCAGCAGGTATCTGTCCGTTTAAGCGGAAGCTCAGACCTGTGTTCATCAGTCATCTGAGTACCAACGTATGAAAAAAATAATATTTGAGTTTGATTCCAATTCCATTAAAAAACTTTTTTTTCCAACATACAGAGATACGTGGCAGAGACGTATGACCGAAATAGTTGCCATAGACGCAATGCCTTTTCGACGCTACTTAGATCAGTTCTTACCTTGCAATTTGCGGAGGGAACTTAATAAGGTGAGTATTTTATTCTTGCTGCTTTTGACAATTCGAATTTACCAAAATATTTACCGTCTTCTTAAAATTGTCGAATCATCATAATTTTAACATTTTATCAGCTGGTATATTCATGCCAAATATTTTGGAATGGCAACACGGTGGACAAATAGTAGAATTAATCAGCTGGTTTTATTGAAAATCTTTGCATTTAAAAGAACATAAGAAATCCTAGACAGAAAAAGACCAAGGTCCATCTAGTTTGCCTTCCACCTTCCTGGAAGTCGCATGCACATATGTCTCAAACTGCCTATGTACTATATCCCATAATGTTATTTCCTAAAAGAATCTAATCTGTGTTTGAAAGAATCAACACTTCGACACTAAAACATGTCAAACATCAGTAAAGTTTTTCATACAGTAACAATATAAACATCAACACTAAAACATCAGTAAAGTTTTACAGATAGTCACGGTATATGAAAAACTATTTTCTTGGTGAACTTGTACAATATTTAATTTTCAACCCAATTTATGATGTGAAGTCAAGATTTTGCATTTTTCTTACAAGCTGAGTAAAATTCCTAACGATTTTTTTGCAATCCTCAAATTGGGCACATGACCCTTTACTTTGGTACTGAGCAGTGGTCTGCATAATATGCTGTGGGAATTGTAATGACCATAGTGGACACTTTTTATGCAATTTTCCAGTACCAAATTAATCAGGCTGCAATCTGTCAAAATTGGAGAAAAGCCATGTTGATAGGATTTTTTAGATAGTGAATTGGGACCCAAAGTCCTGGTAGCGAAGTGATTACATATAAAGCAAGAAGTCTGAATTGACTTAATATGTCTTGTAACTTTCAGTTTGCTTGCAAAAAAAAGATTGGCATTGGAAATATGGACAACTTGGGATATAAATTGGGGGAGAAAATCAATCTAAGCCCTTGAGGGAAGCTAGTAATATCCAAATAAATGCAAAAGTTAGTTGTCTGGTAGCATAGCTGACTTGGATTTGTAGAATAGAGATTTGTGCTGGATGTTCTCCGCACTACAGTTTGCCTACAATTGCCCAGTTGTATCACACTGCTCACCTGTAAGAGGAATGGGCTTACTTGAACATTCCATGGCAATACCTTAGAACAGAATTATTTTTTATCCCCTACCATTGAGAATAAAAAGCCAATCTTTGTGCATACATTCATAACACTGTTCAAGTTACAAGTGCAAAATAAGCAAAAAATACATAGTTCTATTTTGTATAAGTGTTTGGGGACAGGAGTAAATATCCCCAAACATCATTCTCTAGCAATTTGCTCCCAAAACCTACACTACATCCACTGCATTTCTCTTGTCTACTTTATTGGTTACATCTTTCAAGAATTTAATATGGTTGGCCAAGCATAACCTTTCATCTGCTTGTTCAAAGAGCCAGCATAAAGGGCTGAATGGCCTTTGTTTAGGTTGTATTATTCTATGGTTCTATAATGGCCATGTACCATTCCCTGTAGTTGTCTTGGTGGGACATTTTCTATTGTGTCTCAAGACTTATTTTTTGAGAATATAATTGAATAAGAAATGAGAAGACCTGCTGTAATTCAGAGGTTTCTGTATAATTAAAACGTTTTTTTAACCAGTAAATGATGTTTATTGCAGTTATGTTGAGACCTATTGTGGCTGTGCCCAGGGGATGTTCTTCCAAAGCAGTGCAGTTAATTCACTGTAGCATCTTGTCCTCAGAAAATAAATTCCAACTTATGTATTTTGTATATTATATCTGAACAGAAAGGATGTTTTTGAGAATATGGAGGGTGTAGGTGCTGTCATATTTAAAAACACAACATATTAAACCTGCCTCATCTTGATGATGCTGAAATGAATCCTCAAAAATTACATCGTTCTTACTGCCTGATTCAATTTTCTATGTCATAAAATTGGACATTTGAAGCTAAGATACACATTCAAAAATATATTAGATGTCATAATACTGCCAGGGACATGTCAAACAAACTTTGTTCCCATCTTAATTTTTACTGGATGTGCACGAATTATAGAAAAGGTAATCCGGTACATTTCATGATGCTTATTTTGTGGTTTAACATCTGTGCTATGCCGCATATTGCTAGTTTATCGTGAAATTTGTAACATGTCAAAATAGGCAAAATAACATGTCAAAATAACCATGACCCGTTGTATTTCCCCGTAGCAGTGTCTTAAGGGTTTCTCAAAATAATTCTGGTGATATCAGTAATGTAAGGTCATAGAACTGAGCAAAGCAGAGCAATAAATATATGGAGTAATTTCTGGTCATTGGTAAATTTATACACCACTTTGGTCTATAATATTTCATTTATTGCACCACTTTAGTTCTATTGAGTTATCTCTGAAATGTTTGGTGGATCAGCCACTATATCCATTTCCAAATACTCTTATATTGTCATTTTAATTTCCAATGTGGCTTGAATCTGTGATGGGAGATTTGTAGGGTGGGGTTTCTGGAGGGATGAGATCGGATGGGCTGAATGGCTTTCTTCGTTCAAGCTAATCTTGTGTGTGATAACACCACAGCTATCTGAACCTTGTACATGATAGTAAATGTTTGTTTTGCATTCAACGATTCAAGTCTGCTGATTTTTATAACGGACCAGTATGGCTCTGTATAATATGACCATCTGTATAATATGACCACCAAGGAGGGTGGCCTCAATTTCAACATTCTATTGCCAAGCATGTCACCTTGGAGCCAACTGTGTGGTGTTGTAATCTTGTGTACTGAAGTGGGGCGGTTACCAAATAGGGTTTTAACTGCATACACTATAAAGTTAAAATGTTCCAAATAAGGCTACTATCTATATTCATTCTGAACTATTTCCAACTTGTTTTTTTTCTAGATCCAACCATCCATTTAGGAAGGATAGAGCAACTTTTCAAAAATTTTCATGGTCTGCAGTACAGTCAGTGATTAGTTGAAATTGGGTATATTGACAATCATAAATGTGACAAGGGGGATCAGAAAATCAAAATCTTGAGTGTGTGTATTCATGAGCTGACCTTCCCTTCGAGGGTTAAAAAGCAGTGGAATTGACATGGAGAAGTTCAGAACCATCTTATCACTCTGAAAAGCCTTATTTGCTATTATCCACATCACTAGTTTAATTTTTGGAAACAAAATTTGCAGTCAGTTGTATTTACTCATTTATGAACAGTTTTCAATACGCTACTCATTCCAACCCTGGGAATTATGTACTGCAGTGCAAATTCCAATCAGGCAGTCTTCAAATTGATGGACTGCTGTGCCATGAATTGGAAGAACATTTGGATTTTGTGATGGTGGTTGTTCTGCTGATTGTGACAGTGTAGATACCCATTCATGATCTGCATTACAGAGAAAGGCGTAAGGCAATTAGAAAAAGCAATTAGACATATGACTTGTGGTAATAGACAAAAATGTAATTTGTAAGTGAGGAACCTCAATGAGGAAACTCATTCTTCATTCCTTGGGTATAAAGGAATGTTGATTGATTGAGGAGGAGTGGCATTATATCTGTTAGGTCTGTCTTCTGCATTTCTGTCCGGCCCCCATCCCATGAAGATGTTTTAATATTTTGAATGGAAAACTATTTATTGTTCTTTTTCTGCATCATCCTGAAACTGAGTCTTCAAGATTTTAAATAACGTCTCCTTTCAGTAAAATACAAAACTCAGTGCCTTTTTTACCAACTCTATTGTTAGCCAATGTGTGCTGCTTTGGAGAATTAGGTTCTGCTGTTAATATTGTTAGTCTTGGAAATTTAAGAACATTTAAAATAAGCTACAATGATTTTGACTTCAAGCATAATTTTTATCGATAAATAAACTTAGGAACCATATCTTAAGATGTCAGCAGCTTCACCAATAGACTCGTTTTTTTACAAATTTAACATTTTTTAAAATCAAGTTACAGGTAAAAACTAAATTCAAAGACATGCTATATATTAATAAAACATGTTGAAGTCCTTATACACAATAAATGTATTTCATAAACTTCAATAGCATATTAATTGAAAACTAAATCACTGGCCAAAACACATTTCAGCAGTGACAAACAGTTCAATTATATGAGAAGCTTTTGCATCTATGTTAAGAGAGATTTATTATTCACTAACAGTTTCATTTGTGAAGAGAATTGCTGATTATAACTAAATTTATCAGCATATTGTTCAATAGTAATTTGTGTTAGTGAAAATGTTTGAGTCTACAGATTTCACTTTCAATTAGCTAATGTAAACCTGAGTTTAATAAAATCATGGCGATCCTTGAGATGATTAAAAATCAACAGGCTGATGTGATAGAGCTGAGGTGCTGCAATGGTCAGCTGTGTGCTTCAAGTGCATCTCTTTTAAGGTGGGCTGAGATTTGTGGTTGCGAACTCACATTTCTATTTTCCTGTTAGGGTTAATATTTTGTTTGATTCTTTGGTTCTCACAAACGTACTCCAACTTCCATCAATTTAGCCCATAAGATTTGTGAATAGGCTTATGCAGTGTATATTCTTTTGTAATATTTTTAATCTCAGTATTATAATATTGACAGGGTTAGTCCTTTCTAAAAGTATAAAATAACATTTATTCGACAACTTAAATTACCCTTTTCTAACACTGTAATGTAACTGCCTTTGTAGTTCACTTTTCCAGTATTTAAGTCCAAAGGGGTCCAGATAACCTTAATGTCTATATTCTTTAATCAATTTACTCAAAGTGAAAAATGAAGCTTTTGGCAAGACCTGGATAGAATTAAACCAAACAGTCATCCCATTCGAGCCATACTTCCTGCACAGAAAGTTTAATGTTTAAGGTTCTGTCATATTTGTATTCAAAATTCTAGCAACAAATGTCAGAAACTGATAAATGAAGATGTAATCACTTTTCTGGTGCCTTACATAATGTTAATGATTTTCAAAACATTTCTGTGCAGAGGCTGAATTTGTTTCCGTACAGCTGGATCTATGAGAGACTCTTGCTTTGTGAATTAATGACTGTTGCTGCTTAAATCAAGTTAGATCACCTGGACTAAATTACTTCTGTGAGATAACCCATCAACATCCAAATAATATTCAGATAGCTATTAAACACACACATATATATCTTTCGTAAGAGAGAGGTATTTCTTGACCTTAATTTATAATACGATTGTATATTCAGAGTGAAATAAATGTGACAATGAATTTTGTAAGGTAGAAGCCTAACCAAAATACATCACATTATGCTTACATATGTCAACAAAGAATAACGTTTACAATAAGAGATGGTTTATTATTGAACCTACAGTATACATATTAGGTGGGTTGCTCTGCAAATTTTCAGAAACCTGAATTAAATGAATGATATTTAAATAGTACAAAATGTGGGGAGAACACGTTTACTTGATTGATGCAAACAATCCATTATTTTTAAAGACCCGTTGTTCTGTTGGGTAAATTGTGTAGTAAATGTGTTGGTAGATAAACATAAGGATTTATAGGTATGCTGGAATCTCAAAAACTCTCTTTAATACCAGAAATCCAAAGCGGTGAGTTAAAAGGAGTCACCTTATGATATCAATTTTATAGGAGTAGTTTTGCAACTCGTTTTTTCCCGCAATAAATAAATCTACAGATTGGATGGAGAAACATGGAAAAGTCTACCTTATACTGACAATAAATTCCTGTTTGAATACAGGTTTTCCACATTTGATTTTTGATTTCATTACGAATACCGAGTAAGACTCAGTTTCACAGTTTGTATTTTTTACTGCTTTAATTGCAAATGCAAAAAACTTAATTACGGTGAGTCTGAGGTTGGGTGTTAATTATGAAAGCCTGCTACCAGATGAGACATTTCCTTTTCTATCAGTGGTGGTGCTGAATATTGAGGAGAATGTCGGACAATATTGAAAGCTGCTTACTCTACAAGAGAATTTATTAGAGCTCTATATTATATTAGACCCACATTCCGTGCTGCAAAGAATAAGTGCAATAATGAGATTTAAAACAGATGTAGATGCTGTCTAGATGGCTTTCTCACATTACATTGCTATTTAGAATTTATGTTGCTGGAAATCTCTTAAAATGTCAAACAATGAAATGCAAAGGTATCAACTTAGAAATCAGATACTTACAGGGTCCTACAAATATGACAATGACAAAAGAGAACTTTAATGATGGTTAGGAAATGTTTGAATATTACTAGCAACATTTATTCTTCAGGATGCTGCCTATAAAACCATTCAGGGGGAAGTGAGAAGTTAGATTGTCTTCCCTCTTCTTATGCAGTTAACATTTTCATCAAGTATGAGATTTTGAGATGAAATTGTACATTCCATTATAAACATTCACTTCACAAACGAATGTTCTGTAACAACCAGGTGAAGGTTGGAGGGGGGTGCGAGGAGGGACATTTTTGTAAAATGGTGAGTGAGGAAATGCTGAAATGATAAACAGATAAAACTGAGGAAATTATAGCCTTGACCCATGGTTGTAGAAGAATCATAACTGGTACTGATTTTCAGTTCCGTGGCATTCAAGCATCATAAATCTTTGTCTCGAGATGATTGCACCTTGTTTCCATCTATGTGGCAATTTTTATCAGTTGAACAGTGCTGGTTGATGTGGTACTTGTGCTCAATGCCTGTAATTTAGATTAAAATGTCAGGAAATCCATAAAGGGGGCTGTGTTAGTTTAGCAGTTTGCCCTTTTTTGTTTATACTGCATCCCTCAACAAATGCTGACATGAAGCCACTTCTTAAAGAGCAGTGATTCAAACCATTTTTGTGTACAAGTCAGTGGGTTTAGCAAGCTATGTTTTTCGTAGTTTGTAAATCTAATTAAGATCATGAAAGTCTGTGCCTTAAGGTTGAACAAATTGTGCCATGGAGTATTATAAACATGGTTTGTGACGCAATTCTGAACTTCAAGTCTGTCTTTCATGGATGTGGGCATTATAATGTGGCCACTGATGGACATATTGTCGAACCATACCAAATATATAAATGGCAAGCTAATAATTAAAAAAAGTGACTTTGTAACAAAATGTTTTTGTAATTTCTGATACTGCCTATATTACTACTCGGTGCTACAATACCTGTTAATTCATGCTAGATACCCTCAGGTTGCCATTTCACCGCCAGCCTCATTGCCCTTTGACCAAGGTTGCTTTATCTTTTTACGACAGCTATCACACAAATAAATAGAAAACAGCATTTTATACTACTGATGCTGAATGCACAATAATCAGAAACAACAGACAGAGAAATTGGCACTGGGGTGCAGCACATTGGAGGAGCAATTCATGTCAGTTGAGGATCACGGCTTCAGTTTTCCCCCAGCCACTTAGTTGCTAATCAGACACATTGCTGTGAGGATGAGCAGAGCGGAAACTTAAGAAACAGAAAGCAGTGCGAAGAGGCATTAATAATCTATGAGGAAATAAAAGACACTTCAAAAATATGAGTTCAACAGAGCTTAGCCCCATTGAGACTAAGATCTACACAAAGCTGGTGCGCATTCAAGGCTTGTAACTACAGCTGTGCTGTTGTGTAAATGTTCATTCTTTGATTCCTTTTAATCTTGTGTCTTCAGCAGCTAGAAGCAGAAATCAGTTTCGTTTTAAAGACATTTTACCACTAATATAAGGAACCTGTGTGTCAGCTGAAATGACACACATTACTTGTACACTTTTAAATCTGAATCAGGCGTCACCCTAGCTCAGTTGGTAGCATTCTCGCCTATTGAGTCAGGAGGCTGTGGCTTCAAGACCCACCTCGGGACCTTGAACTCAGCATAATCCTGGCAGGGGTGTACTGCATTGTTGGAGGTACTATCCTTTAGATGAAACATTGAACTGAGGTTCCATCTGCCCGTTCAGGTGGACGTTAAAGATTCCATGGCATAATTCGAAAAGAGAAGGGAGGTTTTCCCAGTGTTCTTGCCAACAGTACCCCAAGTAAAATTGGTTACTCAACTGTTTATGGCACATTGCCTTATGCAAAATGTCTGCCGGAATCACCAACAAAAATATACGATCACTGCACTTTTAAGTGAATCCTGTGAAGTGCTTTGCAACAGCCTCCTAACATGAAAGGTGTTATATTTGGTCAAATGTAGTAAAGTGATGTGGCTGAACAAAATCAGTGATGATAAATAGTGCACATGTTTTCTTATTTGCCAATTAAGTACAATACATTAAATGAGCTAATATCTGCTTTTATTTGCTCAATCCAGGCCTATTGTGGCTTTGAACGGCCAAGTATTGACCCAAGGAACCTTTCAGCTGCAGCTACAGGGAACTGGGGCTGTGGAGCATTTGGTGGAGATGCCAGGTTAAAATGTAAGTAAACAAATGTTACAATTCTGACACTTAAATCAGTATCTTGGCTTTAAATGTTGCTTTTTCTTGGCTTTGCTCTCTCTTATTTGTTCCTTCGATATATTTTTTAAAAATCATCGAACGCCTGGTTTGGGCGGTGTTAGATTTTTTTTTCTTGCCTGCATATGTCATAAGTGTCTAGAAAGGAAATGAACATCTATTTGGGAAATTATTGTCTCATCGATTCCCATTGATTCTCTCAGGAGCTGAGCAAGTCCTGAGCAACTTCAAGACATTGGGATAAATTACATAAATTGACCTTAAAAGGGCAAAAAAATCAAGCTGGTAACATGCACAAAAGTTTTATACATGATGTGAATAAATTGTTCTCAAATAATGATGGTAGTGGTGGCATGCATCTTAACTCTGTTTAAAGAGGAGACATTCTGTCGATATTCATGACTGGAATTTCTTATGGATTGTTTGTATCCAGCCTGATGCATTTTTTTTTGCCTTCAATTGCTTAACTTATGGCCATCAATTGCAGCATAAAATGGATCAGCAATCTTTAAATCTAAAGTTATATGCTCTCTAAGTTGCATGTAGAAAGTTTAATTTATAAACAGTTGCAGCCAGCTTATCATGTTACAACAAAAACTGCTGGTTTTCAGCATTCCATGCACAGGCCCAATCAACTCACACACCATCCTAGTTTCTACAACTAATGAAAGTAACTTATGTGCTTTTGCTTTGTTTGTCTCTTGTGTTATTTTTAATATTCTCCTTCTGAGCTGCCTTTGTGTTCAGCGTATTGAACAACTGGAAGTCACCTTTATGAGATGACAGATGTAAAATTCAATGCAATCTGATTTTTTTCCAACATAATTTTATTCATTGATTTTGATAAATCAAGTGGCTGGATGTTTACAAGCAAAAAAACACTAGTCTGCAATTTAATGTGGCCAATTGCTATTATAACAAGAAATTAACTGGGTTACTCAGAACACTTCAAAACAAATCATTAGTGCTTTTCATTCATTAATCATTAGCCTGTTTCGAGCACTGTTGAAATATTTAGAGTCTTCGGAGCTCTGCTTTCATTCTCCAGTTTCTTAACTAGGTTTTGATCTACTGGGAGATGAAGTGTCTTTATCGTATCCCTTAATTACAGATAGAATTAGGAAACTAGCTGTGCTATGTAACTCTTGCGGTTACATAGTACAGCAGTAATGCTCACAATTTGGCTACTCAACACTTAATTTGTGTGCCCTGGGCAGTTATGCTGCTCCACATGTCTCTGATTTCCATCCTAATTGTGCAAGAGAGAAAGAAAATTTTGAAATTGTAACTCTCAATCGAAGTTTGTGAGCAGCCCCCAAATGCACCTTTGGGGGTGTTCCAATGTATTGCCTTTAACATGACTTGAGGCACCTACATGGAAATTATATTTGTACGAATTATCAATAAACAGTCTAATAAATACTAAATAGAATGAAAATACTTGTTGTAAGGAAATGGCAATAGGAAATGGTGTTATGATTTATTTTGTACAAATCGTAACAAGTATATGGTCCTTAAAAAGTAAAAAGTGACTTGCAGTGTGTGCATTAATCATCTCCTATCTCGGTCGCACCATTAAATAGAGGTGTTACTCAGTAAGAAGACAGAAAACCACCAAGAGAGGCATTCTTGGACTTCTACACCACTCAAGTGGCAAACAAAGTGACACACGGACGCTTAAGAGCAGGCATTACCCATCATTTTCTGTTGCAGCAGGTGCATGGCCAGTGAGAGAAAAAAGGAGAGAAACCGAAAAGTTAGTTAAGAAAGTAATCAGCTGGATAATACCCAACAACAACAACAACAAAATACACTTGGATAGCGCCCTTCATGTTGGAAAGACGTCCCAGGGCAATGGACAATCAGGCGTTTTGCATTTGGAGCTTAAATTAAACTTGAAGCTTAAATTAAACTGAAGTGCTACTTTCATTCTGTCAGGCAGAAAGCTCTGATTAGATTCCTTTGGTTGCATCAGAATTTTATATTTCAACCAGCAAACATTTCATGTAAGATTAACTGGAGTTTGAATTAGTTTACGTGAAACCAAACTGTATCAAACTGAAGTTCAGTAAGTTGCATTGGACAAGTGCTTAATCACCTGAAGATCCCCCTCCACTTCGGGGAAAAATCACAACTCTTTAACCTTTCATCAACATTTCTACGTGAATGGCATCACTCAGTTAGATTCTAAGCACCATTGTTTGTGCCCATCTGCCAAGCACACAGGTCACTGTTTTGCCAGCATGTTTTGTCTCAGTATTCCAGACACTAAATTGATGCTGGAATGATCGTTTATTTGTGTACATTTACTTCCTTCAGGAGGAAATAAATAAATTGTGTAGAAGCTATAATGCAGTGTGAGTTGCAGCTCGTGTATTGTCCCGCACCAGGCTTTGCGACCACATCACTCCCACCCTCGCTCGCCTCCACTGGCTTCCCATCCCCCAGAGGATCGAATTCAAGATCCTCATCCTCACCTACAACAACAACAACAACAACAACAAGATTCCATTTATAAAGCGCCTTTCACGTCAGGAGGACGTCCCAAGGCGCTGCACAGTTGGGTCATGACCCGAGCAGGGGGGAAATGGTCAGGGTGAGGGGAGGGAAGGGAGGGAGCGAGGAGGGGGGAAATGGTCAGGGTAAGGGGTGGGAAGGGAGCGAGCGAGGAGGGGGAAGAGAGTCGAGAGGGGAGCTGAAGGCTCGGTCAAAGAGAAAGGTTTTGAGACCGGCCTTGAAGGAGGAAAGGGAGGAAGCAAGGCGAAGGCACTGGGGGATAGAGTTCCAGAGCCTGGGGGCTGAGAGGCTGAAGGCCCGACCACCGATGGTAGGGCGGTTGGGGCGGGGGACGTGGAGCAGACCGGAGCCAGAGGAACGGAGGGTACGGGCAGGTAGGTAGGGGGATAGTAGGTCGGAGAGGTAGGAGGGAGCAAGGTCGTGAATGGCCTTGTAGGTGAGGATGAGGATCTTGAAATCAATCCTCTGGGGGATGGGGAGCCAGTGGAGGCGAGCGAGGGTGGGAGTGATGTGGTCCCGAAGCCTGGTGCGGGACAGTACACGAGCTGCAGAGTTCTGAATGACCTGCAGCTTGTGGAGGGAGGTGGCGGGAAGGCCGGCGAGGAGAGAGTTCCCATAGTCCAGCCTTGAGGTGACAAAGGCGTGGACCAGAGTTTCAGCAGCGTGAGGGGTGAGGTAATGCCGTAGTCTGGCGATGTTCCGGAGGTGATGGAAGGCGGTGCCAGTTGTGGTGCGGATGTGAGGGAGAAAGGACAGCTCAGGGTCGAACAAAACGCCGAGGTTCCTGACTGGCTTTGCGAGGTGGAGAGTGCAGCCTTGGATGCTGATGGTGTCAGCGCCTGAGGTGCGGAGGCGCTGACGTGAGCCAATTCACGGCCTCGCTCACTCCTACCTCTCTGACCTACTATCCCCCTACCTACCTGCCCGTACTCTCCGTTCTTCTGCCTCCGGTCTGCTCCACATCCCCCGCCCCAACCGTCCTACCATCGGTGGCCGGGTCTTCAGCCTCTCAACCCCTAGGCTCTGGAACTCCATCCCCCAGTGCCTTCGCCGCCTCCTCCCTTTCCTCCTTCAAGGCCGGTCTCAAGACCTTTCTCTTTGACCGTGCCTTCAGCTCCCCTCTCGACTCTCTACCCCCTTCTCGCTCCCTCCCTTCCCTCTGACCATTTCCCCCCTGCTCGGGTCCTGATCCAACTGTCCAGCGCCTTGGGACGTCCTCCCAACGTGAAAGGCGCTCTATAAATGAAATCTTGTTGTTGTTGTAACTGGATTATCAGAATAGGCTATATAGAATGAGAAAGGCGATTGGGACTGATAAGTTCATGGCTTTGTTTATACTCCATATAAACCTTCATCCTTCCTTATCTCCTCCCATGCCTCTCTATTTTATTTCCTTCTCCCTTGTGTGTGCATCAAGTTTACTTTTATGTATATTTTTGCTTTTTGTTGCTTCAAACACAGATACTGGCAGCGAGTTCCATTTTAATAGGTTTTAATTAATCCTATAACCTTAACTGTGCTACTCTGATAATGTGTATCAGCCTCAATAACAAAATAGCAGACATGTTGAATATTCAAAGGAGTGTTCTTTTCAGGGAAACTTCTATTTAACATAACAGTGAACTGAGAAGAGCAAATTACAAATCTAACACTAAGATGGATAACAGCAGCAACATCATTTGGAGGTCATTACTGGGCCTAAGGGACTCATTACCATCATTGCTAGCTGAGATTGGACCAGTAATGAGTGAACATCAGAGGATATTTTCTCTTTTATCGATTCAAGTAATATTATTGCTGTGTTCAAATAACTCATCAATCAGTTGTTACTATCCACAGCTTCCTTAGGCAGAAAATAACTAAATCACTTATTGTGCAGTTAGGTTTAAGCATTGAAGAATAACACATAGAACCATAATTTTGTTGTGGTGCATTTTAGGAAAGCGATATAAAGACAAATAGAACATGCACACTGTAGGATCAAACCAATGAGAGAGAGAGTGAGACGGTCAAACAAATGCTATCCACCTGCATTCACTAATCAACACCAAGGAGATAGATAGTTGTTGCACATCCAACCAATTCCAACCCCATCCTCCTCCCAGAGTCTGTTAATAGAGTTGGACAAGAGGCTCCTTGTATTCCAGAAGGTTAACCATTAACCTGGAGTGGGACAGGTGAGTAAGACTTGGTGCCCCTCTTCAGATTTCCCATTACAATCAAAAGAACTGCGAATCTTGTAACAAGCAGCCTTTGTAATGTTAAAAGCCGAACAACAAGTATGTTTGTAATTTTTTCTTGGAAAGAGGTACATTGATGTAGTTGTATGTTTGTTACAGCCTTGTTGCAGATGATGGCAGCAGCAGAGGCAGGACGGGATGTAGCTTATTTCACCTTCGGAGATCGAGAGCTGATGATCGAGATTCATGACATGCATAAATTTTTAACTGAGAAAGAGCAAACTGTTGGTAAGCATTAGCTCACCTCTAAAATATGTTTCATATATTTCTACCCAATGTTGTACAATTAAGCACAGGCTACTGTGGTATTGATATGCTATTTAATAATGGCTTGGTTCAAATCTATCATTCGATTCTGAAGACCATGAATTCTGCATTTGTCAGTTTTGTCACATGACAAGTGATAAAAGTCACAATGATACCATATAGACCAAAAGGTTTCAGTATGATTTCCAGTCAACCTGGATTAGCTGGACTTATTTGGGCACAACAGTTGCCTTAAGTACTTCCAAAGTAAGGATTGGAAAAAATCAGGCAGTATAACCTTTAACATCTTGCATACCATTTGTGATTTCAGTGTGTTCAGCAAATTCTGCAAATAATTGTTTCTCCCCGTTCTCTCGCAGGTCACATCTACAGACATTTGGAAAGATACTATAGTGAAGTCTGCAGATCCTGTTCCTTTTCACGACCAAATGTCAGACTCTACAACTTCATTTATGATTCTGTAGGCTCGTGCACAGATTCAACAGATGAGGATGAAGGTTGATATCTTTCAGCTCCACAGCATTGAAAGGCTTTTTTTTAAACTTCATTTTGGTTGAATTTCATTGTTCAACCCCCAGTTCTGCTGTTAAGAAATCTCGATATCATGAGCTCCATTTAAGAATAAGTAAATCTATCTTAAAACATTCCCCATTATCCTGAAAGAATATTCTGAAGTATTTGGTGCAGTAATGTCTATTAGTACCAGAAGCTTAAGTCTTCAAAATCTTCAGTATAAATGAATGATTTAAAACTCCAGGTATAATAATTAGATTTGTTTGCCCAGGGACTGACAGGACCAATGTTCTGTTACGTATATTCCAAAAATGCATATTCTGTTTCAAACTTTACACAATCATTATTTAGTTTGCATTATGTTTTGAAATTCACATTAATAATCAGTGTAATTATTCTAGCAGACTATCTGCTATATTCTGATGTTTTTTTGGGCGGTTCTATTTAAATTAAAGTTGAAATCGCAGCATGTTTCAAGCAAGGCTTCATTAATTTGTGATAGAAAATTAAAGATATACTTGTGAAGTTGATGAGCAAGCAATTTATTTTCTTGAGTTTCTATTTGAGAAAGAAAGTAATTTTTTTCAATTTTTGAAGGGCAGTTTGTTTAAAATATCTACCTGAAGACCTCAAGTGTATTCTTTCAATGGTAAAATAAAGTTTTGTAGGCATTTTCTGTGAGTACAATTGTACAATATCTATATCTTAACAACTGTCTGCTTTTAATATTCCACCTTGGGGAAACTTTCTGCCAATATGTAAAGTTTTTTTTAAGTTGGCTAATTAAAGCTTTGGTGTTCGATACAAATTAATGAAGTTATGTATGTTTCAACATTTATTACAAACAATGGAAACTCACAAGTCTAGTAAGTTTTGGATTTTAGTCACCATGAAATGGGAAAATATGACTTACGAGTTACGTTGATTAAGGTATACACATGATAGTTCCACTGTATTTAGGTTGATAATGATCATACTTTGAGCAGAAGAAAACTTGATTGTGTGCAGACTGAAAACAATTTATTTACTGAAGTCTCGAGATATGGCAGCAGAACAACAACAATTTACATTTATATAGTTGTGTATTCATGTCAGACGGAGACCATAGTGCTTCATGCAGTGGTGATGAGAAGTTAGAAGAGGAATATTTGGAAAGCATTTATAGTTGCTCCCATTTTCTCTTATCAAAACAAATCACTGGTAATAAAAAGATCCCCAAATATTATATGATAAGTCCAAGAGTGGGGATTAAAAATGCATTCTGCTAGGTATGGCAGAAATCTGCATTGACAGGCTATTTGGGGGAGGCGATTGACAGCTAATTTACTGATGCAATCTGTTCAATCTGTAACCTGAACAAACATGGTGAAAATCCAAGGTCGTCTTAAAGTAAGAAATCAGCCCAGAACCTATGTCAGAGTCCTTCAGACATGTGTACTACTGGTGTTCGAACCGATCTTATCTCATCTGACAAGAAGGTATGTCAGTGTTCAAGCTCTTTCCTTTCTTGCTGCCAAAGATTGTTCCTCAATTTCACTTGATGCTGAAGCTTTATCTTTGTATCTCATGCTCCTTCCGCTCAAAGCAAGTATCATTTTGTGAATGCACACAAGGTACTATGAAATGTACTTTATGGAATGAAGTTAACAAATTGTATGGCTCTCTGGGATGTGAGAACTCATTCTATTTAACCATTTGTGGAGTGGCCATCTGCAAGACAGCATTTTTATCTTGATGACAAATGTCTTGCTAAACAAACAGAAACTTTAGGGAAATAGAAATGTACAGCAGGAGAAAGATCCTGAATAAGCAGCAGACCCAAGGTTTTTGAAATACTACATCCTATTCTCCATTTCGCATATCTTCAGTACATTATCTGGAAGGCCCATCTAGTGTTGCACAATCATGTTGCCGTTATTGAAACTGAAAAAATAATTGTTTTCTGTTTAACTATCGTTAATGAATCATTTTGATCATGACAGATTTTACACCTATTTTGCAATTTGATGTCCGACAATTATAATTGTATGACTAACTTGCAAAATATCACTGATTTAAAATTAACTTCACAAATGCTACATTTGTCATGAAATCCTGGATAAGATATAGTCCGACATGTATTATTCTAAAAGATGATAGAATATTAAAAACTGATTCAAATACAGCAATTATAGTGTTACGTTATTATCTGAGTCATGTTTATGATTAGTTTCACAAGCCCAGACTAAACTTCATATGACCTTGATTCAAAATTGCTGCCAAATATGATTCACTAAAACTCCCACAAAGAAAATCCAATACTCTAAATTGGTCTGTCGTTAATCATGAATTTTGATCTGACTTGGCATCTTCCATTAAATGATGAATGTGGCTAAGCACAGCAATTTTCTTCACTCCTCCACTGTTACTGCCAGATATTTTTCCTCCAAATGAAGTCTTCTGTTACCAAAGCACTTCACAATTTCAAACCAGAAAATGCATTTTTCTTAATTTCACTGAAGAGCTTTCTTTGGAAATCAAATCTCTGTACCTTTGTCAACAGCGCACTGCATTCCATCATGGAACTGAATGTTACAAGAACGATTTTGCATTGGAAAAGGTGTTAGTTAAATTGAGTATCAATGATAATATGTATGATGCATTTGGGTAATTGAAGAGACAGCAGATGTTGAGGCAGGTTTTTATGTGTTATGAATTTAGGCTAAAATTGCTTAAAGATGCTTTCAATTTGTTGAATCATAGCCTTCTTGATATCTTTGAAATGTAAGTCACATTTTCTTCTGTCTGATCTAAATCCTCATTGTTCAAACACTTAAAATAATCAGACTCACTGGTTTAGAACAGTATAATACAGAAATTGAGTGCCATATCAGAAAGTTCTGCTTTATTCCTACACAATTATTAATATTGAAATAATCTTCACATTTGATGAAACAGCTTATCATGTCGTGAAACTTCACTCAGAATTACTGTAGAGTAGTAACTGTATTTTGTAGTTTGCTGAATATGGTAGCCAATTTGCACACAGAAAAGACCCATGAACAGCGTTGGTGTGAATGATAAATTGTGCCTGGAAGATTGTTAGCCAGGATGCAAAGATCAACTCCCTTCTCTTTTATCAACAGTTCCAGTGCTGAACTGGAGTATCAACCTAGACTGAGCTCATTGCTCCAACATTTAATAATAAGGTTTCCCAGTAATAACTATCTTTCAAAACAATTCTATATTTTGTGATTAATTACAAATTCAGTGTCAACACCACATATCATGTAACTAAGCAGACATTTGCAAATATAGTCATAGGTGGCTTATTCTGGTGATTTATGCCACGAGTTATGTTTGGAGAGTACATGGTACGATTAATAGCTCTATTGTACAGTATTTATTTTCCAAGTTGTAGGTTGGCATCTCATGCGACTATCAAAATGTGAACAGTTTCTCCCAATGTCTTTCCAAGGTAAAATAAAATGGAAAATTAATCTGTTAAATTATTTCTCATATTCTGTTCTTCAAGAAGGTATGAGAGAGACATATTTNAAAAAAACAGTTTCACAGCAACATGCTAATATTTTCACTGCCATGTTGAGGTAATTTGAGTCTTATGTATGAAAGCACAAATACAATACTGAAGTTACTTTCTTCAACAATTTGCTGTTTTTCTACTTCTGCTTCATTAATTATTAATAAAAGCATGAAACCTGGATTTTAATAAATGTATTTAAATCTTCGTGTAGAGCTACGTAACTTTAACTCTTTAAAGTTAACCGACATCAAGGGGATGACCCATGCCTAGTGTTCAGAGCATGACAGTGTAAGGTCAATAGAAATGCAATATAGAACAGACCCATGCTTGCCTGTGACCTTTCTGGAAGGACCACCTGCTGTAGTTCATCTGGTAAATTACATACCAAATCACGAGCAGTCCCTTCATTCATATTTGATCAAAGCAACTGCACGTTATTTGCGTCGTGGAAGTTGAAACTAATTGCTTTAGCTAATGGAACTCGGTCAATGTTTCCAACTCAGTGACAATTTTATTCCTTGGACAATTTCCCTCAAAATAGGTTTTCTCTTTTTACTATATGAAATGTTGAAAAAGGTCTGGTCCTATATGGTGTTTTGTGTATGATTATGATTTCAAAAATGTCAAATTCATAGCTTCAAAGCATTTAGTGGTTGCTAGCAATAATAATATGTTGCATACTTGATGCTTGAGAAATATTTCACAATTCTAATTCTGAAAAATCTAGTGTGCCATTTACCAATTTATCCCCTGACATGGAAATTATGCTGATTGACTGAATTCGAACATGCCAGCATGAAGTTTTCTGCATACATGCAGGTTGTTGTTGCAATTCTTCACTTCTTTTTCAGCTTGGCGATGTTGTAAAACAGTTTTCCTTTAAATTTATATCTTTAGGCATCTATTGCCCCTCAAACAACAAATATGCTAGAAATAGATCAAAAATATAAGCTCGGGTAAAATCGATACACATTCCTTTTTAAAAGGAGATTTGGTTGGTAAGTCAACTTCCCACTTGACTGATATTTGACAGCATCAGAATTTAAATCCTTTCCAAGATTGGGGGGGCAGAGAATTGCAGTGTATCAATTTTAAGTCATCATTATCATAACAGATTTGTGTTACTATAATAACAGCAACTGGAATTAAATGTTAATAAACCCTGTTCAGCAAGCAGATGGTTCCACAGTCTATCTGATCATCCACTGAGCATACACCTTTTCAAGAAATTATCAATTTACACATGAAATAGAAATAAAAGCATCAGAAAACAGCTCGAGAATTAGTAGATTGTCTGTCAATTTGATGCTAGCATGCAAACCATGTTGCAATGCATACACAAACTTTTGATTTGTGCATAAATGAGAGGTATGTTTCAAAAAAGCCAGTCAAGAAAATAATCAATTAACTTGTGCATGAAAAAACACTGCAGATAAAATCTATGAATCTCTATGCCCAAAGAGATGGCTCTCAACTCTGCCAGTGCATTTTGACAAGACAAAGTGACATGACTAGTTTGATAATATGGAGTGATTTGAGATTTTCAACATTCTTCTCAACAATGAATAGGTTATTGATTTGGGGACATTCTAGTTTTTATAAATACATCCATTTAATGGGTCATTTTATGATCATTTTTCTAATCTAATTTGTTTTTTTTAGAAAAAGCTCATTATATAAATAACACACCAATTGCAATTAAATTATTAAAATTGATTCATCTTCAAGCAAATAATTCATCTTGCACACTAAATATTTTAAGGTTTTAGAATTAAAATGGGGGGAAGCCATGACAATGAGGTATTGATTTCTGAGAGAAAATCAACCTTTGCATATTTGAGACACTTTATAGGATAGCAGATATGTAGCAAATGTAACACTGAGGTCAGCAAATCACAAAGGTGCACAAAACAAGAATGAAAGGGGAATAAGAGAGGTAGTTGATAGGGCACAGGTTTAGATTGCTTCATCACTTTGGCCTGCTGGCGATTTGCAGTTAATCGAGCTGCCTTTTTGGTGTTCAGATATCATTTGAACTCTTGACAGGTCCATGATGAGACTCATTAGGCTGCAGCTAAAATAAAATGTGATCCATTCAAGACATAAGGCCTCGTTGCGACAGAGCATTGGGACAGATAGTGACTGCACAATCATGCTGTGGTCACAAAGTCATGCCTATGAGTTCCTAATTTTAGAAAGGGGGTGGGGGCTGCAGGGGGGTCATTATTGGTGCTCATGTAGAGAAAACCAGGGTTTGAGTCTCGCTGAGCTATCTTCTTTTGCCTCCTGCTAA